CAATAAATTTGAGAAGAATCGTTGAGAAGAAAGGAAGTTATGATTTTTTGAAAATCAGGTGCAAAAACTTTTCGGACAACCTAATATATTAGGTTGTCCGGAAATTAATGCAGGTTTTAAATTTCAACCGCAGTAAGTCATACACTTCTCATTTCTAAATAGGTTGCAAGGTACCATTCGATAGAGCAAGGCAAGCTCTACAAAGTGGCAATCTTGCTTTAGCAACAGCTCTGATCCACCACGAATTTCCAGCCAGAAACTGAAAAGATTCAACTGCCGGAAAAATTGAGAAAAATTGTAACTCAGTTCTTAATACTCCTGCAAAAATTCTAACTTGCTCACGTAAACCCAATCCACATAAGACATCCATATACGCCGTTGCCTTATTTTTTTCTCTGTTAGAAATCAAGAAAACGGAAATTTTCATGCATTTGCCAAAGTGATGCTGTGCCGCCCCCACATAAGTAGTTGCATACTACAAACCTGTAGAAGTACAAACGTAGATTTTCAGCTCTCTACAAGCTTTAGTTCTCGAGAAATATCGAATATAGCCTTCATTAGTTAGGTGGTTCAAGCTAAAATTCAAATTTCTCGAGAACTAAAGCTTATAAACAGCACCCAGCTCACTTTTTTTTTCTTTGACGATGGCTCTAATTTGAACATTTCATGATGGCTTTGTAGATCGTATTCTGAATACTATGCTTAAAATGCACTTGGAAAATGCCGCTCCTTTCTAGAATATTCTCTGAGCGGTCTCTGCGTACAATCACAATCCCTTTAATTACCATCCTAAGAATTTTGAAACCGAAAATCAAGTAGAATTGAATGCATACTCCTTTTACAAGAGCATCTCACAAAAAACTTCTGCAATTTGTTCTGAAATTTAGGTAGAGGATACTTTATGTATATTTACAGGCAGCTCAAAACAGCTTTTCTGTCATTAAATCTCGCAGTATGCTGATTTATCTATTATACTTTAGTAACTAATAACGAACATCCTTATGTGATGAAGGAGGGATTCTACTTCTTCACTGCATAATTTATGAAATAAAAATAATCTTTTGAGGTACGAGAAATTTATTATCGAATATCTGACCAGCTTGATATTTGGATTATTCAATAGATAAAAGTTAGCTATTTTCGAACTTCCGCTTATTCACGGTTGTGTGTGGAGTCATGGAATTTTATTAGTCGTTGGTATTTGAAATTATAAGAGCCTTCAGTTTTGTTCTGCATGAAGGTGAGTAGTTTTTAATTAGTTCTTGTATAACTGGTAATATAAGCAACACTTGCTCGGTTTTACCGAGTAAAGGAAACTGCGCTAGGGGTCATTTATTAGGTTGTCCCGAAAGTTTTGTCGGTTTTTGTCATCGCTCACCAAACCTCACAGAACACCAATTCATGGACGGCCTAGGTGTCATTCTATTCATTTTTGTATCCTCTTTCTTATAGCTATGTTTGTTCTCTGATCTACCCCGTGTTTACGATGTTATCGCCATGGCTTTTTGAGCACCTCAGCAGTAGCGCCAAAATTTCCTGAATTTTCAAAATTTTTATCTTGATATTTTCGATAAGCGCTGGTGACTGTCATGTAGGGCAAACCTTTGGCTGCATTGTACTTATTTTAGATTACGTGGGCCACGTTTATAATGTCCGTGATAATTATTTATTTGAGAAAAACCGCGGCTTTTTGAACACGTTTTATCATGTAAAATTACCGAAAATTCCGAAAAGCTGATTTTTGAAGCAAATCAAACTTGGTTGTGTTGCATAAATGATGCTAAATAACAAACAAGTTTAAATTCGCAAAAACTCAAAAGCTTTCATGCTTTTGCTGCAATTGTGCGTTTCATGACTTTGCTAAAAACCAAGGCCTCCGGAGAAATAATTTTTTTGAAGTTAAATTCAGCAGATTTAGAGAATCTAAAAACATGAACTTGTAGCCCGAGAGTTGCTCTATTTGACCTATACTTAGTCTTTTTCGAAACTTTGTAATGAAATATTTGAAAATTAGCTCAACTTTGAGCAGGTATTGAGAGATGGAGAATTTTGGCAATTATCAAAAAAAGCCTACAAGATTATGGTATGAAAGTGTATCCATAAGAAAGCGGAGGAAAAGCTGCATCGAATGCACGTTGAAACTCACTTGAATCTTCATTGTGCGTGGTTTTACAGTGGTTTGAAAAAAACCGACAAAACTTTCGGGACAACCTAATATTTTGCGAAACTGATTTCTGTATTATTTGTATTATTGTAACTGTATTTGTATTATTATTCTCTTATTTTCATCCATATAAGACCAAATTTTTTTGCTACTACACTTCTTTTCCATTATTTAAAAAATGGGTAGAACAGAGGAGCGAAGAAATTTTCTGAGCTAAAATTGGTCTGCAGGTTTTGGCCTTGATGAAAGCCTTTTGAATTTTCGGAAGCAGCTAAAATGGGACATAGTCTTGTCTGTCCCAAATTCGATTGCTTGTATAGTATTTACGAAATGTAAGTTTTACATAAAGATGAGAAGAAATCAATTCACTCATGGCTAAACAGTATTTTTTCCTGTTATATGCATACTGTAAAGTACAGTTTTCTATGTGCACACTTCAAAGTACAGTATGCTCCAAGGTGAAGCAGGTCCGCACATCTCATTGGTGTGTGAACGAAGTCCGAGTGCGCTGCTCTAATCAGTTAAAATTCTATTCATAATACTTTGTTCTTCCTCTAACTTGTACGCTTTTATGTTATTCTTTTCAAGACCGCGGGTATTTAAAATTCCAGATTTTTCAAATTCAAAATTTTTTTTTGTCACTTATTTTGTCTATATAAATGAAATAACTCAAATTACTACTATTAATGTTAATATTCACTGTCTTGCTGCCTCCTCGAGGCGTTCAAAAATTGCGTATGACAGCCTTGTTCAGGCGCCATCGCGGGCAATTGGTATAAGTTTTCAACCAGCAATAAACGCACCTCGGCAGAGCCTCATTGGTCACGTTATCGCCTCTGCGCAAAGCTGATGTGACTGACGCGATGAGCGTGCCGATGTCTCGGCTGCGCCGTATCGCACGCTGGTTCACTTACCCACCTAGGTGTGCAACATTGCAGAGGATCCGTGAATGCTAATTCAAATAATTGTATTTTGTGGAAAACAAGAAAAACGTGAAAAATAGATAAATTCACAATTAAAAGCGGCAGAAAATACTAGGATAAATTGAAAAGCTTTTGGGATTTTCTAGAACATACCTAGCTTTCTTCAGTTAATCTCAAATATTGAGATTATCTGTTCAACTCTATCCTCTCCTCTGAGCAATTTTTAATCAAGCCGCATGATATGTTATTTTTTAGGAGTAGAGGTGTCTCATATGTCCTGCGAAGCTCTAAAGTTTGTTCAAAAATATTCAGAATAGTATAGATTATATTTTTTTATGTATAATAGATATCGTTTGATATCTCTTGGAGAATTATTTTAATATTAACTAGAATAAAATATCAAAATAAGAATGAAGGCTCTAAATGTTCATTGAAACATCAAACAGCATAAATTCTTGCCAAAATAGAATGGTTCGTAAAATGGATTTTGAACTTTATTTCTTTGTACCTAACAATTTTTGGCAACGAAATCTTCTAAAATTTGGAATTTTCTTAATAAAAAGGAATGACATGTAAAAGAAAAATAATTATTGAAATTATATTTCCTTGTATCTATTGCTACTTTGTTCACCAAATTTCGAGGAGATAAAAAAAGAGTCTTTTGCATATACCACAGTGATGAATCAGTAGTAAAAATTCTTGCAATTTTGAATAAAGCGGGTAATTTTCTCTGGGTAATAGCGAATTCAACAATTTCTTGGACTGGAAGAAATTATGGATTAAAATTTTTGGAGCATTCTATGGGACAAACTGATACCTGAGGTAAATGTCACCTTTGAAAAAAATATGCTGGAAATTATCGCTATTGGTAACGCTTCAGCATACAAAGATTTTTAAACGAAATTTCCTGTTTGTTGTCTGTTTCAAATAGTTAAAATGTTACTTCTAATATCCAATGATTTTATTAGGTTGGCAGCTTGCTCGTACGACTCTTCTTATTGCATTCGAAACGTAATAGTCAATAAAAGCTCTATAATCCTCTAGAAGAATTATGAAATAATAGAAAGCCTCAACTATATACTTCCTTCAAATTTTCTAAAAATCGTGAGGGGAACTTTCCTGACAACCTAACTGACTAATAAAACATGGTACTCCCAAAATTTTATCCCGCATTACTAGCGCATTGAATTTGAAAATTAGTTATCGATATTACCCTATATTTTCCCACTTTTTCCGCTTGAGAAAATTCATACAAAATCGTTTTACCTTCCTATATCGTAACATTCGTTTGTGAGCTCTTTTTATTCCTCTTACTAGTGTTTCAAAAAAAAAAAAAAAACAACAACAGTAATAAAATTTACCATGAAATGCAATAAATACAATGAGTATAAGCAAGTATAAGCAATTTTGACCTGATTACGAAAATTTTGAAGACTTTTTTGTTCAATTCTTTGACTATGCCACATTTGTGTTGAAGCCCCGAAATTGTGAGTACGGAGATCTTGTGAAGGGATCATAACCTCGAGAAAAATCGCCTTCTTTGGATAGAATTTTTCTACATCCAAGGAAGAAAAACGGTTTTTTTCCTTTTTTCAATAGTCCTTGGATTTTCTTGGGGAATACGCATGACCTTCGCCTGTCTCGATCGAGATATTGTGCTCCAAGGATGCCGCGCCTTCGAACGCGCTTGGCCACGCCCACTGCGGCGTCTTGCGCGAACGAATAACATTCGAATTTTCCACTTTTGAAACAGCTGTTGAGCTTGATCTTATCTGCCTGATAAGCGAACCATCCGCTATCTACTGTAGTACAGCGGGAAGCTGGAACATTTGAATTTTGGATTGTGCAACTTTCAACCTTTATCTCGGTTTTTCTTCCCTTCTCACTGTCTTGTCATTCATTTTCGTAATTTCAGCAGTTAGCTGACACATTTTTCAAGCTCTATACACGAAAAGACAGTTGCAGATGGATTCTGTGAACGAAAGTGCAGAAGTGAGTGGGTTAGAAGCAACAGTGAATTTCACACCTTTTTGGAATTTCTTCTCTTGCTGTTACCCTTGAATTTTTCTTTTCCTATATCGAGCTAGATTTTGATTTGATCATTTTTAGCAAGTTACATTTTTCTGTTATCTTGAATCTTTCAGGATTCACTTCACTATATATTATGCTTGATTTTCTAAACGATTCATATTTTCAGCGCATCATGGAACGAGTGCGCCAAAGAAACCTAGAGCTGAGCTCATCCATGGAGCAAGAGAACGAAAGCGTTTCGAGCAATAAGGAGCAGCTTTTTAGTAAAAATGAAGGTGGGTACTACCACGAATTAAGCTTCACTTTTATACCTGTGAGAATTGCAATTTTAGATCAAGCTGCAAATAACAGGAGTAGTGAGAAGCCCGATATACCTCCAGCTTCGGTTAGTTTCTGATGCAGATGATTTTCTTCCTTGCTCTAATTTATAGAAAAGAATGGAAAATTTTCCAGTTTTAGCACTTTTTTCGTTAAACGTCTGTTAATATGTCATACAGTCAACTTGCTGTTGGAAAAGCTAACCCATACTAGAATATAACTTTTCAGTCATCTCCATTCAAAAACAAGACAAACAATACCGCATCCACCACTGCACCCTTGTCAACATCACCAACGAAAACACCATCAAGGCTAAAGTCAAGATTTTCGGAGCTAGCGGCAGAGTATGAGCAGTTTGAAATCGACAAGAACTGGCATCCTCCGGCAACAAAATCCAAGGAAGCCTACATGAAGGGAGTGTCACCTAGGCTCAGCATGGGCGAGGTACGTTACGGTTGTAGACCAGCTAAAAGGGAAGTTAATTGTTCTTTGTAGACCAGAGCATCTGTGTTGTGTACGCCTGCTGGTATGGCTCAAATGAAGCAGTCAAATACGGCAAAATCTCCTAACTCCAGGGAGCCGTCACCTCAGAAAACTGTAACGATAGTTTGCAACAAAAGTAAGTTGCATAGGGAAATAATGTGAATTTTTTCGTCATCGCTCTATTTAGCTCCACAACCAGTCGAACCTCCGAAAGAAGCTCCTCGTCGTATAACCTTTGCTCAGCCAATCTCTGACACACATATAATGACTGATGAGTCTTCGTTGTGTTCTACAATCGTGAGTTTCACAAAATTCTATTTTCTACGTTTTTTTTCTTACCAGAGATGCTTTTTGCGGGTTATGAAGGCTTTACGAAGTTTGTGTTGAAACTTCGTTCCACAATAAGAAAAAGTTTCAATACAGAACCTCACTCTAACCTTCTAACCTCCCTCATTAGGCAAACTCAGCTTCTTTTTCCTGTTTCCGAGACCAACAGCCATCTTATCATTCCGCCAACAAGTTCGGTCATTCTAACTACTCTTCATTTTCTTATTGTGTTTCTCACTGATCGGTGGCTTCAAAAGCATTCACAAATTGCATGCCCACCACCACGTCATCGAGCTCATGCAGCTCTAGACATTTTTATCGTTTAATTACCATTAAAGTATGTGAAAATGTTCTATACATCAAAGTTCATCATCATTTTGCAGAACACAGCGGATGAAAGCAGCATCCTTGCTGGAGGACCACCAGTACCAGTACCAGCTGCCAGAAATTTCACTAAAAATAAGGACGGAGAAGTAGACTTGTCCAATGATGAGTATGGAGCTCATACTTTTACCAAAAAGGTGTGTCTAGTATTTTAGTCTTTGCGATTCATATATTCTCTGCTTTCATAAAAGTAATTTCACAGCTTCGCTATATTGTAACTTTCTTGACATAATTGCAACGTATCAAACCAGAAGTTAAAGCCTTTATGCTCACATGTGTCCTGTACCATTAACCTTTTAAAGGCTTCCAGACCGTTTACACTAATTTGATTTATATAACCCCGTCTTTATGGATTTTTAGACCTTTACATCGTCCAGCTTCATCAAGGAAAAAGAAGAACAGGTGGATCTGTCTAGCGATGAATATGGTGCACACACTTTTCTGAAAAAGGTAGTATGTCTAAACAGTGAAACTTTTCGTCAGTCTTTGTGTGTGTCTGGTGAAGGGTCACTGCTATTGTTTAGAAAACACCACCAAGGACAAAAACACCATCGTCCTCATCTATTAACATGATCTCACCCAAGCCTTTTGTAAGTCATGCACGCTTATCGCCTCTAAATGCATGCATGTTTGTGTTGCTTATGTTCGCTAATTGCTTTTCGGGTTTAGAATCGTAGTGCCAGTCAAACCCACTTCTCACCGGTGCACTTTGTAAGTTCACTAATCCCCTGCTTGGGTTCGGTGGTCCACAAGAGGCAGCGTCCGACAAATCTGGCACTTCGCTTTCACAAAGAAACTACTTTGGGATCCTAACTAAAGCACTATTCAAAATGACGGCGCAAATTATTTACCGCCGAGAAATTCATTAAACCTTTCCTTAGTACCGTAAAGCGAACGACTTGCAACGGCTTGCATGTTTTCGCTAAATACGGTACTTGAAGCAGGTGTAGGGAAAAAATTCTCGACTGTGGGTAGATCATTTGCATTGCCGCTTGGAGAGTGTCCGAGTTAAAATCTCACAATCAGTAACCACGTAAAAGTTCCACATGCCGGATTTGCCTGGATGCGCCTCGAAGACTGTCAAGTTTTGTGAGTCCAAATGGTTTTATAGAATCCCATCACCACCTCATCTCCGAATAATGAGAGCACAACCACAATCACAATGGAGACGAAAATGATTACAGAAATTCGTGAGTGGTGTGGATGCTCTGCGTGATTACATAATACAAAGCAGTGATTTCAGCTATATCTGAAGTGCGCTTGCGTCCAACAGAAACTCGGAAAGACTTCATGGACGATCTCGAGATGCGTGCGAAAAGAGCAACCGTGCCAAGTTTGATGACAGCAAAATCACCATTAGCAAAGGCTAGTTTCGAGTTTTTATAATGAGAAACGCGAACTTCATAATATTATGAAACATTCAATTACACACTCCAACACTTTGTCCAAGACTGCCAATGGTTTTTATCTGCATAGTTAAAAAAAGGCAGAGCATCTGGAGTTTGTAGACCATGTGGGCGCAGCTGAAAAAATGGATTCCGGTTTTGAGAAATCTTCTTTGACTATTTCAGAGCACTAGTGAAGAAAACGTTGATGCTGCGTCAAAGGAGATGTCTCCCATCAGAGCAGCTGTGATGGAATCGGCCAAAGCTAAAAAGATTGCGCGGCAGCTAGAAGAGAAGCTGAAAACTACTCAAACTAAGGTATGCATCCGTTTGAGTTGCGATGCTAGTCATTCTCAAAGGATTCCATTTGAGATTCCAACACCCAAGCCAGTAGGAGGGCCAGTCACAGCGATCACAGCTGTACCACCGGTAACTCCTACTACGCCTCGCATTCAGACTCAGTGGCGTGGAAGTCAAGATACGCCCGTAGTACAGGGTACCGTTCCGGGTATTCCAACTCTGCCTGATGTTCCAGCAAGTAATCTTCAAAATTTGAGAACGAGATGGGAGGTAATCAGCAATTGTCATTTTTCGTCACTTACTCAACATTATTCGGAAAATTATTCATGAAAGTAACTCAAAATTATTCAAGCTATCCTCTGTCACTGGTACTCCACTTCACCCCGATGAGACCGAGGAGGAAATTTTAGCAGCGGCTAGGCGCATGCGCGATGCGACAAGAAAAGTCCATCATAAACCAAAGAATTCACAACCCTATCTGGCTAAGAAGATCTCACAGGCCCTCAAGCAGGAGCAGGTATCTATTACTTTCAATGCATTTTTATCAAGAAAGAGGTTTTTTTCTAAGCAACGCTCCCCAACTTGTTCCCCGCTCCACAAGAGTCCACGGTATGCTGATGACTCCGATGAGGAAAAAGAAGTAAGATCCACCTACAAGGTAGTGCAAATAACGTAAATCAGATGATCTGATAGTAAACAAGTGTTTTCTAGGCCACATCATCAACGAAGCTAGCCTACTCTCCTTACAAATCTCCTGCTATCAAGATATCGCCAATTCGAACACCAAAAACACCAGTCCAAAAGTCACCAATTCAGCCTCCAAAGACGCCAATCTATCAGTCACCAATGCATCTTGAGCAACCAGACTCTGCAGAAGAAGCCAACATTTTTGGAGATGATGAGGTATTAGTGTGATTAGGTCTTTTTTTTTTTCAAAAAGTCATTTTAAGGGGTCGAATGATGAGATGAACGAGTCACACAGTGTTTCTCATCTGATCGATAAAGCTTTTGATTTTATGGATAGGACGCCAAATAAGTATGGAAGTACACCGACGAAAGTGCCAGAGGGTCTAGCACCAACTGCTGAAGAGGTTTGGATTATGAACGTGGTTGAGTTTTTCACGCTTGTCTGTTGGTATAACCGTTCCTGTAGAAAATATTTTCTTATTTTTTAAATCGTACGTTAATGCTGTTATAATTCACCAAAATGCATCCCCGAAATTTTCGATACTTTCTGAAGTTACAGGAGATGTTTTCACCCATGAAAGAAGTTTCGTGTTCTTTGCCTGTACCACCCGAAACCAAGGAGGATCCAGTATTCATCCCAACCGATAGTGCTAGTGATAGTCAAGATAAAGGAGATTCAAGCAAAGGTAATCATTGCGTTTGATCAGGTTCAATGACTAAGACGCTAATTTTAGAATCTCTCCTGCCTTATACGGTGTCGTTCTATCGCAAGCGCATGAGAGAATTGAGGGCTGCCGATAGTGGAGTAGAGAGAATAGATTTGACGACTGATGTTTCTACTGCACATCAGCAGACTATCATCGGAGGTGGCAGCTACGGTGATGATGAAGAGAGTGGACATGCTAAAACTGAAAGAAAAGTAGGTCTTCCTAAGTTTTGCAGTCATTTTCAATATGTTATGTTTATAGACGCTTATGGAACGTGAGATTTCTGTGCAGCAGCAAAGAATATCGCAAGCCATGCAAGCACTTCGATATTGCAAGGAACGCACAGAGTTTCGCGGGAGTCGAGAGGAGGTTAAAAAACCAAATTGTGCGTTATCCTTGAAGTTATGTTTAAGGTGGACGCGCAACGAGCACTTCTTATTGCCACTGAAACGCGGCGTGCATTGCTATTTGAGATCGATCGATTGAACAGAGGAGACTCTAGGAGGTTAGTAAAGTTTTATGCTTGGATGTCCATCGTGTAGAAAAATTGTGGAAAGACTTTATCTGAATGGTTATTATTATCCAAGCATTTGTACTGTTACACGAATTCTAGCATACAGTATGCAAAATTTCAAATTTCATTTCAAATTGGCAGGAAACAGATTTTGAGCAGTAATAATTAGTTTATAGTGGCGCTGTCTATATTATGCAAAACCCCTCCGCTTTTACAAGTAGCTATTTCAGTTTTTTTGGAAAGATTTGAAATCTCCAATTCAAGAAAACAATTTAATCGTTCTTTTTTTGACTTGTGTAATATCAATCCTCCGAGTTCAGAACAGAGGGTCCCCGGGGAACGCTCACAATCAGCAATATCACAATTTTCTTGGATCGTGAATTTGTGAATTCCCAGCTGAAGTATTCCAGTCACAGAGGTAAGGTTACTCATATTGCTATCCGTGCTGCACTTAACTTTTGAATCGCTTCAGATGATATTTATTACTTCATTGTGTTGCTGCGATATGGATGCGATGTACAACATACTTCACTGGTTACCAGTGATGAAGGGATAAGGAAGAATGTGAGACTTATTCCAAACTCTTGATTGGCCTCCTGATCATAATGGTCTTCTCTAGGGTCTTCTCGAGTTCAACTACTATCTCACCTTGAAAGATTTACCACCAGACTTTGTTTGTGCAATGGAAGTCTACGGACTGGTAAGTTTTTTCTAGCTTTTCTATGTAATATGTTTTTTTGCTGTGCCGTTGAGTCCATTATTACAGACGATACATAGTTACTCCTCATTACTGAATTTTTGTCTTTTTTGAGATTCACAGTTTTCCTTCAGAAAACCAAGCAAGAGCATATTTCTCATGAAGTGAAGTATCGCCTTGGATCAGCAAATACCTTGGGTAAAAAGGTTTGTGATATCTTCAAATAATCATTTTTTCTGTTGATATATAACCAACTCTTGTTTTTTTTTCTTTATGTCGTTTTTTGCAGATAAGACAAGCATTTCTGGATGCTGTAAGCTGCTTTAAGATATATCGTAATGTAAATTTAGGCTATAATAATAAGGAATAGAAAATATCTACCAGTGTCCTTTTGCTTTTTGTAACTATGTTGGACTTTAGCAACGCTCGAAGTTCCCAACCCTGACATCGTTCGGAGGATCCTCTGCAGTAGTGGAGCCAGCCTTCCAGTTGGTTGGCAGGCTCACCATCGACATTGATACGCAGAGTCGGAAACTGACACTGCAAGATGTGTTAGCACCATTGGAAGGGACTGTGGTCGTAAAAATGAAAAAGTAGGTTCTTCGCTTGAAAAGTGAAATTATAAAATTTACATCATGTCTTTCAGGCACGCCACAGATAAAGCTACTACTCTTCATCGCGGTTTCTTATCCATGTATCAACGAACAAACGATGGTTTGGGGACTTGGACAAGGTATGGAGTAACTTATTCTACTGTAATGGTCTTTCAAGTTTATGAAATAGAAATACAGAGAGTTACGAAGAGTATTATTTTTACTGTTCAGGTATTGGTGTGTCCTAGAGGGTGCAGAAATGCGGTTTTGGCGCTGTCCTGATGAGGAGAGAGACGGAAAAGTGAGTTTTGTTTAGAATTGTGTGATTTGATCGGAAATTCATCACATAGTTCTTATAAAGTTACCGTTCCTCAACATGTGATCATGGTTTTTGTTGGTTTTCTAGCATACATGGTGAAGTTTTGTACTCAATCTTACTTATATTCAGCAATGGCTGGTCTTACTTGACCTCCAAACATGTGCCGGTGATGGTGCTTCTACCGTTAGCGATGTCTGTCCTTACCCTAATAGCTTCCATATCGACGTTTGGGTGCCCAAAGAGGGAGCTCCCAGGCGATCAAACGGGAAACCTGAAGTGGAGAAATTGAGGTAAGTCATTGTTTATGCTTACCTTTCTTCCTTTTTCTCTTTAATGCAATGATTTTTGTTGCAGAGTTATGCTAGCTGCCGACACTAAGGGCCATCTAGATAACTGGATAGAAATTATCAATCAAACGGCTCGTCATGTGCTGATGTGGGACCGACCATCATTCGTGCCCAAGTGATGTCTTATGTCAATTCATACTTATCGAGAAGCCCATTAAATTCCAAATGCTAGATAGTGCTAGTCAAATAGCGCGCAGCCATGAGATCCCCGCTTTGTACTATGTTGTATGTTCTTCATTCATCAATAATGCTTCTATAGTGCTACAAATTGATCTACAAGAAATTTATACAGTTTACTAGATATTAATGCATGTGCCGAATGTAGACGAACTAAAAACTTATTATTTGCGAATGTAGTTTTCTCGACCATATAACACCTCATTTTCCACTGAAGTCATCGCTTGTCTCTATGCTATTATATGCTATATACCTGCTCATAATGCCATGAATCCGTTAAAGTAAAGTACCTTACCTGAAATACAGGTTTTGTGACTCATGCTAATCGTTCATATCTGATCGCTGCTTTTGTAAATACAGCTTGTATCACATGACTGACTACCATATTTTGTGGCATGTGTAGCTTTACAAATGTATCGTTTTCTAGTTGTGATAAAAAAAATTGTGGAAAGTGTTTTTGTTGTTTATCAAAAGTAATTTTCATGCAGGTATCTTTGCTAGTATTACAAAAAAGTTTGAAAGTCGAAAATTTGGTAGCGGGTGAATGGGTGTAGGTCTTGAAGCACTGAGAGTAATAAAGGGAAGAAAGTGTTTGTTTGATATTAGCAAGTTTGCCAGTGAGGAGTCACGTACAGACTGCTCCAGTCGGGATCAGGCCCAACCATCAGCTGAATTTGCGCGCCCGTAGCACTAGGGGTTTGCGCTTATCGCAGAGAGAGAAGAGAGCTAGCCGTACTCGTGACGCAATACCCTTGCGATGCGGATTCCTCCATGCCAGTTTTGGCCTGATTGGGATGGGACAGACTGTACAATCGCTGCAGTTTTAAAAAAGGGCTTTGAATTATGAATTTTGGGTTACATTTGCATGTCGTCTGCAGAACATCACTCACGGTCATGAATATGTTCAGTATCCCTGACAGATTACGGTATCCCATTTCCGCAGTGCACAGGAGACGAGAGAGAGGTGAATTTGGGAATTTCTGGCTTACCGCAGTTGCTGATCGAAGGTGCGGGGCGTTAGCGCACTCAGAAAATTTTCTTGGGGTGCTTTCGAAAATTTTTGCGGGCCCATGACACCAAAATCTCAGAAAAAAGGGACGTAGCTGCAAGCATGCCCCCCGAATTTTTTTGCAAGGCTAACTTAAATTATTGAAATTTTCAAAAATTATTTTAGTCATTTACAAGTATAATAAGCATATTTTGTTAAACCATGAATCTTCCAAAAATTTCGCGACCCATTCTCTTTGTATGTGGAGTATACATTCGTCAGCGAGCCTTGAGGTCAAAAACTATCTTTGGAAAGTTCTGTATTTCCTACCTGACTCGCTTTGCAACTAAAATGAGCTCATTTTGGGGTTTTTATCATGTAAATTTGCAGCAACAATCCTACCCAAAATCAATTCCAACCTCAGACTTTTCTTGTGAATTTTGCCATTTTCCACGAAAAAAATTCGGTTATTGGGTAATAAGAATGTGCAAAACAAACAACAAAGTAGAGCGGATTGCGAATCGCTATCATGACTATCGTATGCCTAGCCATGTTGTAGATGTACTGCCTATAACCTTTGGATTCAACTGGATTGGCGGCTGGAAGGCGGGGCTATGTGACCTAATTGTGACCGCTAGCGCCCGCGACGAAGTCTGCGTCTCTCTGCGCTCGTTCTCTCAGATCATTCTTTAGCCTTAACTAGGTCACGAAGCCCGCCTTCCAGTCGCCAATCCAGTTGAATCAAAGGGCACTTTTTGTTGCCAGGTTACTTGCCTGCTGTACCATGCAGACAGCGAAGCAGCGTTACGATGCTGTTAAACCTCGTGAACGGGTTGAATTTGGTGGATACCGCTTTGTTATTCCATCTCTAGACTTCAAAGTGCCAAAATTTCAATGCTGCAATGGTGCTCATGAAGGTGCTGAGCCGTGTGAGCAAAAAGCGGATAGCTTCGATTTGACGGAGTGTGTAAATGAGGTAACGGGGAAGAAATCAACGATAAAGGAAAGAGAAGTTCATTTCTCTTTGTTTTAGGTGCAAAACATTATCCGGACTACTTCAACATCTGAAGAACTTCCGGGCACATCCAAGCCTGTAGAACATGCACAAGCTCCTCATAATTTGCGGAATGATTATTCGAAAGTCCAAACCTCCTCCAAACAGGAAACACCAATAAATAATTATGGAGCTCAACTCACTGCAATCGAAAGATGTGCACAGACTCCTGGAGCGGTAAAGGCATCTTGTGAGAAAAATCCACCTTTGTTGGCAGCTCCAAAACTGGCTTCAGAGAGATTTGAGGTGAGCGTTTACTGTGTTTATTCGAAATAATCAGTTTTTTATTGGGGACCTATTTATCATTCGTGTCGCCAAATCGACTATAATCTATGAAAAAGGCATCTTTAGAGCAGGAATAAGCAAGAGTCAATCTTGGCAGCACCCGCAATCCTCGAAAAGCCCTCTACCTCAGCAGCAGTTCCTGCTACCATACAAAAATTACCTACCTCAAATGTGCAAGTACCTAGTGAGTTTATAAGTCGTTTTAGTTTTGTTTGTTTGTTTGTTTATTTTTTTGATACAAAGCCTTTGTTTATTTATTTACTTATTTATTGATACACTGTTGTGCACAGTGCGCCAGTACTAAGACACGAACGCAACGACAGACAAAAACAGTAATGAAACGAAATTGTAACATGCTCAACACCCTAGAGAAATTGAGGAGAGTAATTCTCTAGATGAAGTCGTGGAGGAAAGTGATGACGAAATCATATTCCAAGATGAACCAGATGATGATTGCATTTTGCTTGATGATGAGCCAGCGGTGAGCAATCTTGCTGATTTTTCTATATTCCTGGAGCTTATCCCAGAATCGTTAGTCAAATATACCATTGGAGAATTCTTGGTGAAAATCCCTTTCGTAGGGTCATGATTCTTTCGATGAAGTTGAGTACATGGATACGCAACCGCCAACAAGTAATGCTTATCACCTCGACTCGGACGATTCGTTCAACGATGAAGCTTATGAGGTACATGGGAACTCCTCTGCCTTTTTACGCCCCGATCAGTCTTGTAAATTTGTGGACAATTGAGAATTTTATCATCATTCTGGAGTCAATGTTACCTTACTTTCATATTCAGATCGTACCTATACAACCACGAGCCATTAGCGAAGAAAGACACGGTAAGCTTTTCTTTGTCTTGGATCTCCTCAGTATTATTCGATCTTGAACTCAGATATGCACGGGCAGTTTCGAGGTTTTCTCAAAGACGATGGAGATGAGTTTGAAGACGAAGGTATTTTGTCTACAAGTGTAGATGGAATAGAATTTTATCAGAGTATCTTCAAATTCAGTCGCTGCACTTGGTCAACAGCTTCGCGATGAGATGTACAGCACGCTAAAAGAGAAGTTTGGTTTCAATTCCTTCCGCCATCGTCAGAAAACAGCGATCGTTGCTATCCTGCTAGGATACGATGCTTTTGTGCTTATGCCTACAGGTATGCTTCCCTTACGAAAATTATCTATTTTTTGCAGCAAGAACCTGTTAACATGATTTTTATTTCAAAAACAAGTTCTCTGTTTTCTTACATAATCTACCGATCTAGGTGCGGGCAAAAGTTTGTGCTATCAGCTGCCGGCAGTCATGTCGGAAGGTGTGACTGTAGTGGTGTCGCCACTAAAATCACTTATCGAAGACCAGCGGTCGAAGATGAGAGATCTAGGAGTAAGTCTTAAGAGTCTTTGAAATCGCGCTTTGTTTTGTGGGGAAATATCATGAAAAGTCAATTTTTGCACTTTCATAATCTTCAGAAGATTTACCTCTTCAGATTTCATGTGAAGCTTTGACATCTGATCTAAACGACGGCGACCAGTCGATAATTTACAATCGACTCATGAGCTCACCTCCAGACATCAAGTTATTGTATGTAACTCCTGAGAAGGTACTAGGCAACTGCTCTCAAGTGGCTCTTTCGACTGTTTTTTGTATCAGATCAGCGCATCTGGACGACTGGCTTCAGTTTTTGGGAGCTTGCACCGCCGCAACTTTCTTATGCGTTTCGTTATTGATGAAGCACATTGTGTCTCGCAATGGGGTCATGATTTCCGTCCTGACTACACGAAGCTGCAATCATTGAGAAGAGAGTATGCGCAACCAAAGGTTGGTCAAAAACTCCGATATCAATATAACACCACTGCTTTATTGACTTGAGCAGTTTGGGTCCTTGACAACAGATCTCGCAATTAGTGGTTGTAAATTATTTCGATTCAGGTGCCCATCATTGCGTTGACAGCTACAGCCACTCCTAAAATTGTCGCTGACACCAAAGATCATTTGGGTATCAAGGACTCAAAATTGTAATTTTTTGTAACTTATGAACACTTTGAATTCTATTCTAATAATGAAAAATATTGTAGGTAGGTTCTCTTGCGCATATAGAAGATTTTGAATATTACACGCAAAATCCGAATACCGCATTATGTTGCCATGTTCACAATGCTGAGTCTCAGATTCATGTTGTCTTTGGACAAGAACATTTTCTGTCTAATATGTGTACATCAGTGACGGTCTCAGGTTCCGGAGGGGGAGGGGGGGGGGGGCGACGAAAATCTTCCAACGGATGGAGGTATGTGGCTTTAGCTACGCACTTAGAGAATTTCTTGGAGTGCTTGGTAGAGTACCTGAGTACCTACCTGAGTGAGTAGTAAATTTTTCGAAGGGCGTGCAGCAAGCCCCCGAAATAATTTTTTTACAAAGCTAGTCGAATTTTAAGAATTCTAAAAGTTATTCAAATTATTTAGAAGTACAAAGAGTCATTTGGAATTTGAACAACTCAGAGCAATCATGTTTTAACCGCTTCAAATTTTTTCGAAACTTTGGAACTAATATGCGCCATTTGCAAAAGATAAAAGCTTCCGGTATGATCCATTGCAATAGAAAAGAGTCTTGGGAGGAGTGAAAATGACTGCAATGTTGCAAAAGGTTTGCTTTGGTTGTAGGAATGGGCAACCAAGGAATTAGAGTACCTTAGCGTGTCTATGAGGTTGCGTTGGTTACTATCTCAATTACATCTACACCGGTGTCAATTACATCTATAGCGGTACATCGTCAAATATATTAGGTTGAACCGAAAGTTCGTTCGCACCATTTTCAAAAAATCATAACTTCTTTTCATCACGACGATTTTACGCAAATTAAATTTTGTTAGAAAACGTAAAGCATTAGTTTCCAATAGTCCCCTGGCGACTTTCCAGCATGTTCAGATTGCAGAGATAAAAATAAAAGAACGAAAACATCCGAAATTCGGAATTTTTGAGCAAATCTAAAAATCTAGAAACTGCGCGATAAAATCCAGAAAAGCCATTATCCTAATTTTTCTTATATTTGATTACTAACTGAGTTAAGTTTGTGCTGATCGAGCTCTTCTTTCAAAAGTTATGATTTTTTGAAAAAAATGTCGAAAAATCAATTTCTTAGGAATTCTTAGGAAAGTGATTTTTCGGAATTTTTTTCAAAAAATTATAACTTTTGAAAGAAGAGCTCGATCAGCACAGACTTTTCTCAGTTAGTAATCAATATAAGAGAAATTAGGATAATGGCTTTTCTAGATTTTATCGCGCAGTTTCTAGATTTTTAGAATTTCTGCTCAAAAATTCCGAATTTCGGATGTTTTCGTTCTTTCAATTTTATCTCTGCAATCTGAACATGCTGGAAAGTCGCCAAGGGACTATTGGAAACTACATGCTTTACGTTTTCTAATAAAATTTAAATTGCTCAAAATCGTCGTGATGGAAAGAAGTCATGATTTATATCTTTGTGATTAGCTAAAAAAATGAGAAAAACAACAAAGTCTTTGGAACAACTTAGTTCCTGTCGCTGCGCTGATTTTTTTTTGTGATACTTGAAGGTTTAAAACGAAATCTTCCTTACCCATTAAGTTCTCAGAAATTTCAATCCTTCCAGTCTCAATCTGAATTTCTTGATTATTTTCAGATTCATCAGCAGCTTTGTGAGGGACAACCTCACTTACGAAATAATACCAAAAGCTGCGAAGTCATTCATAAATGTGGTAGAAAAGATGAAACAGCTGTATCCAAACAAAGCCGGAATTGTTTACTGCTTATCAAGGTCACGTCATTCAAAAACTTTGCCGAAGTGACTATAATTCTACTTCTATTTTTGGACCGTTTTAGGAAGGAGTGCGAAAGTGTATGTACTTCCTTGAAAAAAGCAGGTGTCCGTGCTGAAGTGTATCACGCTGGTTTGCCGGATAAGGAGAGAGTGCAGGTAAAACGGAACATATGTTATAATGAAAAAAAAAGTTTTTTTCTGCATTCAGGTGCAACATCGCTGGTTGCGAAATAGTATAAACGTAATCTGTGCGACTATAGCATTTGGTATGGGTATAGACAAACCCGATGTGCGATTTGTTATCCATTACAGGTTTGTGAGTGGTTAAATCAGAGCATAGTACTGGTTGCAACATTGTTTTTTGGAAGGAGGAAGACTCAAAGATGTTTAGATCAGACATGGTGCTAGCTCTCCGACATAATTTTTCTGGAAGCTGCTAAACTTCATGCAGGCTTATAACCCCTTAACTTTCTTATAATGATTGTGGACTTTTTTAATCATGATTTTCAAGAATTTTTAAGGTTACATTTGCTGACAAAAAATAAATTACTCAAACGACTTATGACTAAATCATACCAGTTGTTTACAGTGTGATGTCCCAATATCCGGAGTGCAGAATGAACCGATTATAAAGAAAAGCTTACTTTCCTAACTAAGTATTATTTAGTTTACCCAAATCTATCGAGGGCTATTATCAAGAGACAGGAAGAGCTGGTCGAGATGGGAATCCATCCTATTGTTTGTTACTGTACAGCTATCAGGATGCGATCAGGCTGAGGAGAATGATTGAGGGTCTCTTAAATGCATAGTAAATTGGACGTGTCTCATTCATGAAGTTTCAGCCGATGACAGTCAAGCACCCGCAAGCGTTCGATCGATGCATCTGCAAAATATTTATCAAGTCGTAGCCTACTGTGAGAACATCTCAGTATGTAGAAGGAAAATTCTTGTGGAACATTTTGGAGAGGTAAATCATTTGTGAAAAATTGATGGAATACTTCCAAATTTTTAGCTCAGTATCTCACTGAAATCTGCAATTTTTCTTATCACAAATCTTTGAAATTTCATTCAAATGAAAAAGCAATAAAATTCAAAATTCTCTGCAAATTTTTCAATAGATTTTTTCTCCCAGTATAGTGAGTCGGTTTAATCAAGTTTATCTTATATATAAAGCTGAATGTCTGTTTGTCTGTCTGTCTGTATATCTGTATGCCTGTATGTGTGTACGTATGTTCCGAATAGAAAATTCCATTTCTGAACCGATCCGGACCAAACTTGGCACACATACACTTCGGGCCCCGGCGGGTGTCATAGGCAGGGTCAAGCGTGGGGTGCGGTACGCCACACCTGGGGGGTCGTATTGAGGAGTCAAAAGGGGAGGGGTCGTAGTTGGGTAATCTGATGATAATGATAACATGATATTTGTATCATATCCATAATTAGCATGTCAATTAACCCCTGCAGACAAAGTGTGAGCGAATTCTGAAGATTCAAGATACTAGGCTATCCAAATGAAATGGTCAAACTCCAACATGGTTAACTTTGTTTCAAAGGTGAATTAGCTATCCGTTTTTGCACTTGAGACAAAGCACTACTTTTCTTTGTCCACCTCAGGAATCCCGCTTCAGAAGACCTGCAAACTGTGGAATTAGAAGCCAACCAAAATTTCGTTTTTCCCATTTTTCGCATTTGATCGCTGTGCTTTCACCAAATATTACTCAGAGCTAAGAAGACGAATCAGGCTCCAAACAGTCCTATGGAATCTACAAGGTTTAGGCTATCGATTCATTTAAATACTGTCCGCTAAAAATGTTCTTTTGATATAGTTAATGGGGTGCGGCTGCCGCAGCTTTCAAGGGGGTGTGCCGCACCCCCTTAACTTGCCTTCAATATCCAGAAAGCGCTCCATTGCTGGTATGAGTATTGAGCACATAGCTTCTTCTTGCTACACTGGAAATTTGGAGCCGAACGCCCCACCCATAAGAAAATTATGGCCCTTTCAATATGCCCATTCAGATCAAAATCAGCCGTCAAATCACGTGTGTTGTAAAGTGCAGTCACAGAAAATCGGCGTACAGCTCTCAGAAATCTGAAAACTCTCTAGAAAAAGCTGGTGTCCTCCAGAATGTCACACTTTGAGGTCCAGAGGTTAAGAGGAGGAAGAAGGGGTCGTTTGAGGTTTCATGGGAGGGGGGGGGGGGTTGTTTTCGAAAGACTTGTGCCTGACCTCTTTCTCAACTCTATTAATGCTATCTTAGGTATATAGTTCAGGGGGGGGGGGGTCTTATTAAGGGAACGGCCATAGGTTGTCGATGTTGTCGGTGTTGTCGATGTTGTCGGTGTTGTCGGTGTTGTCGGTGTTGTCGGAGTTGTCGGGGTCAGAGACAGTTTAGAGAGCGCGCGAAACGTGGAGGCTATAATGACGTCCTACAACGACCGGCAACCTCGGCAACCCCGACAACCCCGACAACACCGACAACATCGACAACACCGACAACATCGACAACACCGACAACACCGACAACCTATGGCCGTTCCCTAAGACAGCGATCAGGGGGGGGGGGGAGGGTCGTAACCAGCGATCGTGTGCCACACCCCTTGCTTGACCCTGGCTCATAGGCTATGAATCATAGGCTACTTTTCGTCATCGATCGATATCGATTTTATCGATTTTTTGCAAAATTTGAGCTACGGGGCTGGGAGTTGGTGCAGGGGGTAATTGAGCATGCTGATTACGAATAAAATAATGACAGGGCCGGGCGGAGCCGGGTAAGCCATCTAGTGTTTTATATAATTCAGTCAAAGATGCACTTTTGAAACTATTACTGGAAAAGCAAATGTGATTGCGATTTATGGAAACTGTACTACCAATGAGGTTTCTTTTTATCTGAGATAAGACAGAACGATAATTTTCTTCTCGAATAAAATTTTCATGTTTAGGTGTATGATGCCCAAATGTGCCTGAGAAGCAATACACCTTGCGATGTTTGCCAAAGACAGAAGCACCATCCTGACGCCGTAAAGCTCTTTGATGTGTCTGAGGAGGCGTTGTCAATTATGACAGCAATGTCAAGAATGAGAAATGTGACATTGAGGTTTGTATCATCTTCTTTTTCTCCTTTTTATTTTTTAACCATTCAGGTACTTGGCTGAATTGTTTCGTGGACAACTCAACAAAAAGGATGCAGAGCAAGCGATGCGCTTAGGACACACAGCATACACTTTTTATGGACGAGGTATGGGAATGACTGATCAAGACTCGCTACGTTTCCTGCGAAAAATGGTGAATTTACTCTTGTTCGCAATATGGATGTTGATTGCCAGTCTTGTCAAAATGAATATGCAGGTCGTCGAAGGATATATTGAAGAGCGTTTGTACCGTACCAAATTCGAGAGTACGGTGGCATACGCAGAGCTATCCGCGAAAGGCAAACAAATGGTTGCGACTGGAACAAAACCAAAGGCAAGACTAGTTTGCTCAGATTATAACTTGATTTTCTCAGCGCTCAATTAGTAGATCGTTCTTTATTCTTAAGTTTTACATACTTGTGGAATTTCTTGGTCACTCGGAATTTGGGACATTTATAACCTACAATTTTATGATAGCATGAGAAAGGGGACGATATGAGAAGATAACTTTTTTGATTATAGAGGTGTTTCAGGTCTATCTACACGTTACCACCGATAAAAAGCGGAAGTCGATAGCATCAGATCTTCTAGCCAGGACGGCTGTATCAGAAGCAAAGGCCTTAAAGGAGAAGTGAGTATTTGCAGCTTGCCATAGGAAGATATTAGGAGCGGTTCTAATGTGAGAAATTCTCTCGGCAAAATCTTTTCGGGATATTTCAAATCTTAGCGAGCTATAGTGATCATATTTCTCCTGATTTAACTCATTAGAAAGCTAATTTGTACTTTCGTGAAACTCGCTGTTGGGGAAAAGGCAAACATGGTTCCACTTGAAGTGTGTGTACCGATCAATTTATGATTTGCCAAATACTCAGTGAAATGTTTGCAGGCACATGGTAAAATATGGCGACATCTTCACCAGATGCGTCCAGTCGCTGACCCAGTTGCTGACAGATATGGCAGATGAAATGCGACTGTCTGGCCCTTATGCCATAATTTCGAGGGAGGGACTGGAACAGGTAGAAAAAATTCTTAGAATTTCTTACGTTTCAACTGGCACCATTTTAGGTGGCGGCATTATTGCCGAGGACGAATACCGACTTGCTTCAAGTTGATTCCATGACATCGACGAAAATCGAGAAATATGGAGGACGTATTATGACTGCACTGAAACCATTTTGGAAAGAAGTCGATGGTATGAATTGAATAAGTCGAAATTGCTGATGCAGTCAGTTTTGTATTTAGAGCGCGATGAAGCCGAGATGCGTCAACAACTAGAAAAACTCAAAGAGCTTGCGCCAGCTGCTCCTTTGCCGACAGTCTCATCAGAGCCATCCAGCTCGGCGGGTAGGTCAAATTAATTAGAAAGGCTGGTTTCATTGTATTTGTTTTGTAGCTTCTTCCTCGACGGGAGCATCATCGGGGAAGTTTGCCCCAAGATTTGGACGTTATATGCGCGGACGGGGTGCTAACGTTGGACGTGCTACAAGAATCACTCCACGTGTGAGAAAGAAGAATAGCAGTCGTGGAAGCAGTCAGCAATCGTAAGTTTTCTTTGCTTAATGAAGACCTCGGTTGTGTGGGAAGGGGGGAGGGGGGAATACCCAGGCCTGGTATCCGGCTCCATTAACCATTCTGATGATTTTATCAAAAAAAAGGTTAAGCATATCTGCGAAAAGCTGAAAGGTCACGTCAGTGGCATGTGCATGCATCACGCACATCTACTGTCACCCAAAAAAAAGTTTTTCGCTCGAAGTCCTCAAAGAACGATTCAATTTACAGATCCGGTGGTACCCGAGCAAAACGTGCTAGACCTTCTTTCAAACCTCCACCTGGTACCTCTCGCGGAAGAGGCGCTAAGGTCGGCAGAGCGACTCCGCAATTGAATCCTAGACTGTTTCCAGTTTGATTCTCCTCACCCATTTTTTTATGAATCTCTATCGTTGCTCATATAAATCTTCCTCAAGTTTATACACTTCCGAATAGCCTGCCTGATATGAATACTGGTCCATGTAAGTATGCTGCCTGTAAATCTTCCGTTATGATTGTTCAAATTACAATTATCAATATCTTTTTATCTCAGTTTTTATATCTCGGTGTTGTAACGGTGCCTTGCGCACGAATACAATTTGCTTTCTTTTCTCTGATCTGTGAATTATGAGCACTGCCTGGAAATCTCATTTATTCCTGTGAATCTACATGTATCATAAACAAATTGGAGTGTTCCTTTTTTTCTTGTGAATGCTAGCTCTTGGCTCTAGCATAGTTGTGGAAATGGCTGTGTAAGAAAAAAACATGCAAGTCTTGGCATTCCTTCAAGCTCACTTATCAAAGGAAATGTGGTTTACGACAACCCGCACTTAACTTCATTTCTCATATTTAATGCGTTTTTATAAAACCAAATTAGCTTTTGAGTCAGAAGTTAACGCCAGGTACACTAGCAGTCTCCCCGATTATCATCATAATAGCACTTGTAAACTTTTGCAAAACTGCACAAAATTATTCGATAAACAGCGAGTGTAAAACCTTTAGCGCAATGGAAGGGTAGATTATCCACTCCCCCAGAAGACTGTGAAACAAGAGAGTTTTGGCGGCAAGCATTGTCACATGTCCTGGTAATCTTGTAGTTCAATAATGGACTGCGAAGATTTGGAAGTCTGATTAGTAGCATTCGCAGAAGTTTTGTTGAGGATTAAACGTCAAAATAGTTTTGGGTAGAGGAATATGGCGGTCAAGTTTTATGAAAATAAAATTGTAAAGCTTGTCTTTCTAAATGGGAGTTTGCAAAAATTATTACTAACCAAAATACCACATATTTTGACTCTAATGTGGACCACTTTCTAAATCCTGAAACCTGTCTTGAGATGGGGAAGCCTTCCTCTTCTGCTCCTCTCCCGGTACGCCACTGGTCCACCAACAGTGATGTTGGCCCTAATCCGTAACTATATAGGCTTTCTTTAAGGAAAATTTGCCTACTATTTGAACGTCAATAATTCTTGCTTCAAGATCTTGTGCCGATCTTCAAGTACCGTTCTGTAGAGCTGGCTTCAACATAGATTTACAGCATGGGAGAATCTTTGATCTCTTCGTTAATGTAGGATTACGGTAGGAACTTCAAAAGGTTGGTTCCAAGCCATCGAGAGTCATCTGCATTATGAAGAAAGCCAAAGAGCCAAAAACTCTCTACTCTCTACTTGGGCTTGTAGACTTCGATGATTGCAAATATGAATTTTGCTGTTTGCAAACGTGCTTCTTCTGCAGTTATTCCATGCTCCAACGTTTCCAAAAATGTGAATTTACAATGAAAAACTTCAAAATTAGGAAGCTGTATAATGAGATCTGCAGGCGGCTAAACCCTGCTACACAATTTTACAGAATTTTTTGGAACTTTTTATCCAACGGCTTATTTTACAATGGCGCTGTATGCTGAAAGTTCCATCCTACAGTAACGAAGAGTGACTGGTAACTCGTCCCAAAGAGTCTAAGTTGAAGTGAGCTCTACAAAACATTACTTACAAAAGACGTTGAAGCAAAAGAGTTGACGATCAAACAACGTGCACATTTTTTTGAGAATGCACTTTCAAAATGCGTGGGAAGCTGTGGAAGATTCTGAATGCTCTTTTTAGATTACTCCGTAATGAGCAATAGGCAAAACAAGTTTCGGTTAGGTCGGTTCGGTCATGAAAAAGCTTAGGAAAAACCCTTCTTGGTATCGTCCATTCGTTGACTGTACGGACTGGACATAACCGCGGAGCACGCGCCGCGAGGTAAAACGCTTGCTCCGATACAAACTCGCCATTGTTGTTCGACCGCGCCGCGCGTGGTCCGTAGCGTTTGAGCAGTCCGTACGGCCAACGAATTCGACGATATATGTTCGCTATGGACTCGCGATCCCTACAATAGTCGCTACAAAACAGAGGCAACATCAAATTACCCTATTTTCCAGGTGTATAAGCCGCACCCTTTTTGCTCTAAACCCGAGCAGACCCAGACATGCCGCTGCGCATGTGCCTCGCAAAGCGGTCGCTTTCTCGCACATTGCCTTAACGCGCCCCATCGTAACAGGCAGTCTTTTGGCGTGTCCGCCTTTAGAGTGAAAAGGGTGCGGCTTTATAAACCTGAAAATAGGGTAGCTGCAGTAGAGAGATCTACCCACGACTTCCCCACCACGTTGCAGCATTTGTTGATTTTTTGTGAAAGGGACTTTTGACGTGCCAAGCCTAGATGATAGAACCGGAGAAAACTTAGTTAGTACAAAGTGTGTGAATTAAAACGAAGGTCAAACGCATTGATACCAGGTACTTATGGTACAGAAGTCAAGGAATCTTAATAGGACCACTTCAGTACCTCTGGCAGCCACCAATCGTTGCTAGACCACCCATTGTGCCTGGAATCATGTTCGAACCTGACTCAAGACATGCTTCTACGTGTTTGGGGGTGGCACGTGCTAACACGTTGGCAAACTTCCTCAGGTGACAGGTGAGCCGTCATTCGATATCGGTCGTGCTCCATTAATGGCTGATTATCAATCCCAAAGCTCTCAGTAATTTTCCGGTTCCCTGAACTTGCTGACAGATGTATGTTTACTAGTTATATCTGTGCAGAAACGACAAAAAAACTTTCAATCAACGGATTTTTTTTTCGCGGCGAGTCATTTACCTGCTCAGATTCTCTTTTCAGATCATACTCGGAATGTCAATGTCCTTGTCGCATAATCGACGACATGGCTGTTCACCGTATGGAAGGTTCGATTGGCATACGATGCCGTTTCCGCATGGAGTAGCTGCGATAGCTCGCCGCCCTGTGAGCTTCTCATCTTTTAGTAACGACCAGTGCGTCACCTCCGCTTCGCGGAGGTTTGCATTGGTAATAATAATCCGTATGCCTTTCTCATTTTCGCATGAGAATGGCTTTGAAACCCACCACGCGATGCTGAAAATCACAAACGAATCGTAAACAACTGTCCATTTATGAAGCATCTCCATGTAAGATCGGTAATTTTGAGAAAAAAAAACTTTGTTGCAAGGGAACAGATGCGAAGAACGGATTACTGATTTTATTTGAGTTTGGTAATCGCCATAAGGTTAATAGTCACTTTGAGGTACACTTTAGTGCAAAAATCTTTTCAGTTTTTTCAAATAAAACCTTGCCAACTCGACTGTCTACGCGTTCATCACTTTTTGGCGCTGTTTTCGCAAAAAAGCAAACTTTTCGAGCACTTTTTGAGGTAGAATTCTTGGCGCGCAGAGTTACTTGTCAGGCAAATCATAACTTTGCAAAAAGTCGACTTAGCGACTCAATTTTGTGGGCCAAAAGGCGCGTGGACCCGTTTGACGTGCAAATTTTGAGGGACCCGCTTATCGAACCGGCTCGTCCTTGTGTATAGTGGGCCTACACGCTGGCACGGTATGTTATGCAAAATTGCAGCCCGATAGCTTAGTTGCAGCTTTCTCTATGAATTTCGTGACAGACAGATTTACACACAGACACACAAAAAAAACAGACGGCCTTAGCGCGTTATTATAGCAGGATAAATATAATACGATAGAGACACTGGTAATTTTGTAGTCTCCCATCGGAGTTTCCGCGCACTGCTCATTCAGTACTTGATCTTGCAGTGGAAGAAGCCAAAATCACTCTTGCGTCTCCTCATGGCAGGCCATCTTTCAGTCACTAAAGCTGCTTCAGTCAAGTCGTCGATCGCACACAGACTAGCCGTAGTTGCGGAGCAGCGCGGCGCGGTTGAAATGTTAGGAGAGCGCGACTTGTGCTGGCCGCGCGGCGCGTGCTCTGCAATCTATGACTGTTAGACTCGACGACGGCGGAGCACTTGGAGGGTGTAAAAGTCGTAAATCAGATGTCAAAATACTGACTTCTATGATAGAAAAATGTCATTTTTCTTCATGCCAGAAATACGACGCAAACTTCGATGTGGAGGAATTCATGCGTGGTGGAAATTACGCTGGACCGTTTCGCTTACCCGCAGGTGTCACTGTTCGCATGCATGCAAACCCGGTATTCTTACCTTACTATCATTTACTGATACTATTCCACATTAGTTGACCCAAAAAATGAGTCGTGGATTTCGCTAGGACTTCGTCTAAGGGGGTTATCTTGCACGCTGATTACGAATCAAATTTGTTTCGCACGGTAATGCCATTCGGTGAAGTTACGGTAGGGCTACGGTAAGGGGTAAAAATTATGAATTTGCTCCAAACTTCATGGGGGGGGGGGGCTATTCGATAAGCTGAACATGAGTGTCATATTAAATTCGTACAATAGCGCTAATTTTTCGGGTTACGGTGAGTATACGGTTGATGGCTAAAAATCCCGAATTTGCTCAGAACTTTGCCTAGAGGTGTTTCAAACACGCTGACTACGAATATCGCAATCGTTTCGCACGATAGAGCCTTTTTGTGGATTTTTCCAAATCTGGCTGAAAAGCGGAAAAGTTGCTCTTTCACGCACTGTAGCTCATCATAACTTTGACAATTAGGCATTGTTGCAGCGAACGAGCATATATCTGCAACTAGATGGCAAACCCGGCTCCGCCCGGGGCCAAACTTTGCACACATACACTTCGGGGCAGGGAGCGTGTCATAGTCCACTTTTCGTTAATACAGACATACATACAGACAGACATTCAGCTTTATATATAAGATAAGCATGCTTAAGAACTCTTTCAGGCAAGGTTTTGAACCAATTCGCAATTTTTGGTCATCTACAGTTTACACATCGTAACCCAAAAATTGGCGCTACGTGAAAGCAATATGATACTCATGCTCAGCTTGCCAGATAACCCCCTAGACGAAGTTTGGGGCAATTGATCTTGACCTCCTACGTAACCGTACCGATATCTGACTCCACCCAAAAGGCAGTACCGTGCGAAATAAGTGTGATATTCGTAATCAGCCTGCAAGATAACCTCCCTAGACGAAGTTTCAGCAAAATCCGCGATCTTCATTTTTGGGTCAACTAATGTGGAATAGCGCCCATTTTACTTGTTCTCCTGTCACATATCAATTTTAGCTTCCAACTCCAACAGGCGAAGTCGTGACCGTTGGTGAATTCCGAGGGCGAAGGGATTACTTGTAAGTCGTAGTTGAATTTGTGATTGCACACAACAGTCCTAAATTGTAGGGAGTACCTTGGGATGTCATCTATCAGGGAGCAGCCATGTCATCATTGTCGTAATGCCTACGATTTTGACGCTGGGTATGGAAACGTGATGGGTTGCCAGCAGCGAAGGTGAGATTGGTCTTATGTTTAGGTTTTATTCACTCCCTGACTTTATTTTACAGCATAAGACATCATTACGAATTGCCTTATCACAAGAATTTTCCTTTGATTGGTGCGATGGATAGGCAAGGAAGTGTGTTTGTTATTAATTTTAAATAAATTTTTTTGCCAGAAATGGGAGTTACAGTGCGGACAAGAAGTATTATGCGACATGGTGCAACTGCATCTAGATCAGACACATCAATGTATCATGTGAGTTCTAAAACACTTTACACTGTTCAGAAAAGGCAGCAGCTCGCCAAAACCGAACATCTCGAAATTTTCACATGGAAAGTTGCTTGCACCCCAAACATGAGAACAGAGCAGGTCCGAGCACATAGTATGCTGCCCTTGTCTAAAAAAGTGTGACGCGCAAGTTATTCTGATACGCGCTTACGAGCTTGCGATTCTCTCTGACCCGTCAGAGAAGGCATTCCGCAATGTTATAACTGCGAGAGTCTCTCAACGTTCACGTGCTCCACTCGTCCAAATTCAAAGTTGGAGGCCTTGGGAAATGGTGATTTTTGCCATTTTCGCGCTCTTCAAGGTGGATCTCCGGAATTAGCGTCTCGAATTACGCCAGGTAAACAAAAAACTTGAAGTCGAAAATCTGCGAGCCGCTGCCTCAAAGGCCCGTATGCACGTGCATTCCCGCGGAGAGGGGATGTGCGTTTTACCACTGAAATGATCCCCGCTGGGGCTCCTCTCCCCTCCCCACGCGAACCTCCGTATGCACAAAGACATTATCGAAGAAGGGATCCCCTAGGAGTAGGGGAAGCGAACCCCCTTATGCACAAAGGGGATCGAGCGGAGAAATCACTTCGCTTCCGCTTTTCTATGATAACTTTCCTACGTTTCCATCTTTTGACTGTTAACCTTCTTTATTTTGTCATCGGCAATTCTTCAGTCCTTGCTGTATGCGTGTCCACTGTGACTACGCTCCGCGCAACAAAAATAATAATTCTTACTCCCATTAGATTCAAGCTGTATTTATGAATGTTGCTCACATTTCCCAAATGCTGCCCATTCCAGCGTAAAGGTGTTCAACTACAGAACTCAAGATGTCTTCGTAGTGGTAAGATGTTGAAAAAAAGGGGCACACTGCTTTCGTAGTAATAATGCTGACGAGTGTGTCCATCAGCGTCATCAAGTCATGAGCTAAAGAAACAATAGATTGCACTACAGTATGCTGAAAGGGACATTCCTTCACAAAGGTATTCCAACCGTTAGCCATGAAACTATGTGAGCGGCCGTCAAGTGGCGGATGGGGACTAATCGCTAACTCTGCTTTGATAAGCAGCGATCCGGGGGGGGGAGACAAATCCCTGCTTCTATCGGCTTTCACCCCGTTTCCCAATGTGGTGGCAGATGCGAGTTACGGCCGATTAACAAAGCCCTAGTGAGGACAAGGTTTTGGCGATCTAAGCTGAACGAGATGGACAAATCGACGTTGTGGTACAACGAAGGACGCTTGGAAGCATCCACCGTATCTAATGATGCAAGGAAGACCGAGTACGACGTCATCGGACTGACCGAGACAAGGAGAACATCTCCGCTCCTGCACGGCCGCCTCGCGTGGGCTATGCGTTTGTTTCGCAAACACGCTCTCGTACCACTTTCTCATCATTAGCGTAGGAAAGGCGGAGCTTCAGTCGCCGATAAAGCGTGCGAAAATGATTAGAAAGCATGCTTGCGAGTGCATAGCCCAGGCGAGGCGGCCGTGCAGGAGCGGAGATGCTGTCCTTGTCTCAGTCAGTCCGATGACGTCGTACTTGGTCTTCCTTGCATCATTAGATACGGTGGATGCTTCCAAGCATCCTTCGTTGTACCATAAATCGTCGATTTGTCCATCTCGTTTGCGGCAGCTTAGATCGCCAAAACCTTGTCCTCACTAGGGCTTTGTTACTCGGCTGTAACTCGCATCTGCCACCACATTGGGAAACGGGGGTGAAAGCCGATGGAGGCAGGGGATTTGTCCATCCCCCCCCCCCCCGGTCGCTGCTTATCAGAGCAGAGTTAGCGATTAATCTCCATCGGCCACTTGAGGGCCGCTCACATAGTTTCACGGCTAACGGTTGGAATACCTTTGTGAGGGAATACCCTTCGGCATACTGTAGTGCAATCGATTGTTTCCTTAGCATGACTTGATGACGCTGATGGACACACTCGTAGTGGCTTAGGGCCGTATGCACTAACCTCCCCGCTGGGGAGGGGATCGCAGCTTAAAAGAAACTTTATATTTCGAAACTCCAGATACCTGGATTTCACGTTGTGTACCTATCCGTAAGTATTCCTACTACCCTTCACTGTGAACATGTTGAAGAGGAGGAAGCTGTACGAACCGCATTTTCCAACTTTTGTATGATCCCTGATGATCTCCGGCGCTTTTCTTTGGAGTCATTTTTCTTTCTCCGAAATTAACGAAAACTTTTTGAATGTATCGAACATATTGTATTGAACACCTAACAAAACAGTGCTAAGCATGTTGCTGATGAGAATAAGTGAGTTTTTAAAAAGTCGAATTTTTCGGCAAACCTCAAATTTCGACCTGTGGATCATCGAAAATTTCTTGACTTCAAAACATCATTTGTTCTTATTACGAACATGCTTAGCATTGTCAGTTTGGATAATCTGCACAACTTTGGAGGTTTTTCGTTAACTTCGGAGAAAGAAAAATGACTATAAAGAAAAGCGCCGGGGATCATCAGGGATCATACAAAAGCTGGAAAATGCGGTTCGTACAGCTTCTCGCTCCTCTTCAACATGTTCATAGTTAAGGGTACTAGGAATACTTACGGATAGGTACACAACGTGAAATCCAGGTATCTGGAGTTTCGAAATATAAAGCTTTCTTTTGAGCTGCGATCCCCTTCCCGTGGGGATGTTAGTGCATGCGGCCCTTAGTCGTACTACAGTCACATGCGAAATTGACTGCTGCGCAAAAAAAATGCTGCCTTTCAAGAACGGGAAACTGTTCGCGACTTGCCTGTAAAAGAGGCCTTAGGGAGCGCATTGCTCTGCAAATTGCTGGCGGCAAAAGCACGATGTAGCTATGGAATAGTTAATTGGAGCTATTGCAAGACACTATGAGCTATGGAAGCAATAGAAAAATGCAAAAGACGCTCTGAAAGTGCATAATGCGGAATGGAAATAACTACAGATTTACGAGGGCCTAGTGGGACTCGCAGTGGGGGGTCCAGAAGTGATTCACTTCTTAGTGCATACGCGATTATCTTGTTTACAGAAGTTTTGCCAAACCTCATCCTGTAGCTATCCTGAATTGTTATCAATCTATGGCTTAAACGCGACCGAGATGGTAGATCTTTATTGATGGACGACGTTTTGGCGTCCTCGCCCTCGTCAAAGCCTGGAAATCAAAGATCACTTATGGCGTGCCCCCTCAAACGCGTCATCTGACCTCGGAGATCCGTACAAGAGATCGAATGAGATAAGCGAGTAGAAACGAACACGAACAAGCACTCACCAGTAATTGACCAGTAATGCAGCAATTTTTGTAGTCAAGATTACTACCAGCTACTACGTATTTTACGCAATGATTTTATGCTTAAGGATCCCGCCAACGCAGCCCGCCAACGCAAACCTCATTCCTCCTGTAGCTCAAACTTCGAGAACAAAGCTCGAGGGCAGCTCGAAGGGGTTCTGAACATGTTTGCGATGACCGACTTCTTGGTGGACCAAGGGTGTGCTGAAGATAGTGGACCAGAATGTTCTTATTTTTGGAATAGCAAGGAAGATCGTATCGGTTACTGAGAAACGTCTGGCGCCAAAACAGTTCGCCAACCGAATGGCAGAATGCATACGGATACTTCATCAAGGCATGCTGTCGCTCTCGAGCTCAGAGGGACGAGAGATCGCTCGAAAGCAAGATTCGCTTTTGTCTACCTTATGTATCGGAAGAGTTGAGCAAGACCATTAAATCATGCTTACGCTAGGCAGGTCTGAAGGACCCTGTAACAGTTGTGGACATCTTATCAAATAATCTGACGGCGGCTAGTGTGAAACCGACTCTATAACAGTCTTTGTGAGAATCCCAGCTCCGTAATTTGCCCCTTTGGCAGCAGAATGGAGGTTGTAATGTATCCGGTGTGGTTTAGTGATGAATTGTCTTTCATGTGAGGAAAAGTATGTTGGGGAAACGGGACGAGCTTTAACGATTTGGATAAAGGAGCATGTGAACGGCCTCACTAAGCCAAAACCCTCGCGCCATTAGGTGCACATCGTCAAAAAGATTAGAGCGATGCTGCGACGTGAAAGTCACGATCTTATCATACGAAACCGAAATTGTGGCACGCAAAACTCGAAGCATTTTAGATCATGGCTATAAACCCAAAATTAAATAGGAAAGACGAGTGCATGACAGTAACAAATGAGCTTGCGTCCTACCAACCTTAAGCAAGTTTGACCTAAGGAGAAATGAGGTTTGCGTTGGCGGGCTGCGTTGGTGAGATTCTCGGGCATAATATGTGTAACATATAGTGGCTAATATATAGTAGTCTCTCTTATATGGTCTTGACTACAAAAATCACTGCATTACGGTGAGTGCTCCTTCGTGTTCGTTTCTGCTCGCTTTGATCTCAATCTCTTGTATGGGTCTCCGAGGTCAGATGACGCGTTTGAGGTGTACGCCATAAGTGTTCTTTGATTTTCAGGCACTGACGAGGGCGAGGACGCCGAAACGTCGGCCCAAAAATCTATCTATCATCTTGGCCGCGCTTAGGCAAAAAATTGACAGCATCGATAACTGACCATGCTAAGATACAAAGAAGGTCGAACTTTCGAAATATCCTGAATTAATTTCACAGATGTCGCATGTCTCCCAGCACACTGCAATATCTCATTCGTCATCGTCAAGTGATGTTGGGCCAGTGCCTATCAATGTATTCACTGGTTCCGCTCACCCCTCTTGGTCTGGCTCCAGTGTACCTGCCCCGGTAAACTCGGGTTACGTGGTTGCCGGATATGATGCGAATGCAGGGTATATTTTGAAAAATTACGTACTTTGTGAGCGACAGATATTTGTAAAAAAAAGTTCCTAGGTATGCGGCAGTGCCTTCGCAAGTGCCACCATCTATGCCTGAGATGATGACTGCACAAGTTCCAGTTGTGGACACTCAACAAGTGAATGCAGGTGAGATCTGCAAGCAAAAACTGAAAAATTGCAGACTTCAGTTCAGTTCAAAAGGATGCTTTTCAGGAAACGTCCAAGATGCTGAAATGGGAAATGTAAATTTTCCCTAGTTGATGTTCGGTTTGCAACGTGTGGCAAGGGGATAGAATTTACACTTTTGCGCTTGAAGGCAGTGTTTCGGCAGAATGGATTCCTGTCATATATCAATGATGCTAGGCGGTAGACCCTCCAGGTGTACCGTACCTTCAGATCCACCCTCCGCTAAGGAAGGCATGCCTCGAAACCTCACTGGCCACACTCAGTCACCGAAGCTTCATTGGTGTAGATTCCAAACATATTAGGGCATGATTTGTAATATGCAGGGATAAGGTATACTTGAGGATCTACATGAAACATCATCAATATCTGACAAGGATTCACTTTGCGGAGCTGCTTTCAAACATAATCTAGTCGTTCAACAGATTTTGGGCCGAAATACGTGTTTAGGCAAAATCGAAAAGATAGGATCATCGGTTTAACACATTGACGACAACGTGACCCACATGGTGGGTCATGCAATGACTGCCACGTGGGACAATGTGACCCACATGGTGGGTCACGGCATAAATTTTTTTGAAATAATAACAATTACTGGGTACATCCGTTCCCTGAAGTCTTTTACGCTCTAACCCTAGAAAATACCTTGACGTTTCTTGGCTGCTTTCAAAAATTTATGTAGGTATAGTTAAGATGACGATCTGCTTGATTTTAGCTAGAAATTTTCGACTCGTTCGTGAAAGGCATTGTCCCACAAGGCGGACAACTAAAAATGCGCGTTGTCGTCAACGTGTTAAATAATGATCGTACTTCCGAAAGCCTGGAGTATATAACATGTGTGGGAGGAAATCAGGACATTGAGGGCGGAGTGTGCCATTTTATCCCGATCACTTTTTGAGTTCAGGACCACTAGGGGCGGAGTTTGCCATTTTACCCCAGTTTTTTCTTCATCTCTGGGGAAGGAGTAAATACGGGAATTGTATGATAAAATGTCTGATGTCACAAATATTTGTTCGGCTGAATTGGGGATCTATAGGATGTTTCGGAGGGGAGATACCCTTTGCTTCAACCAGATGGGCGGCTGGAAGGCGGGGCTCCGTGACCTAATCAAGGCTAGAAAATGATCAGAGAGCATGTTCAGGGAAGCGCAGACTGCGTCGCGGACGCGAACAGTCTGCGTCAGCAGTCGCCTCCTAAGTCATGAAGTTTGCCGATCTGCCTGAAGACGACTTCATGCAGAACGGCAAACTTCATGACTTGGGAGGCGGATCTCGTTGAAGCAAATGGTACGTTAATTGAAGCTAAACGGTATAAGTATTATTAGTATATTTGGCTAAACGTGGAATACGAGTTAAGCGGATGCTTGATGACCATTTCGTAGACCTTACTTTGCTCTATCGCATGGTAACAAGCTGCACTCAATAAGGACAAAAAAAATAAAAGCTGCAATTTTTGTGAAATTGTAAAAAAAAAACATGGGACGCCCTAATAACCAAGTCAAAGAAGTTTTTAGGGCGTGGTTACTCTACGGACCCCGCTCCTTCTCTAAAAATCTAAAATGAGCCTGTTAAAATCTTTCAAAGCATCTTTAACAAAATAGTGGGGTGGATCTCGCCTAAGAAACTGATTTTAGATGGGATCTCCGCCGGTTGTCAATTATCAAGGCGAGCCTGTTGTTTACAAGCCGGAGACTGTAGATTACTCTTATGAAAGCGCGCAGATGTACCCACAGGTCCTCACTCAGCCGGTCTTCCCGCCTCAGCATGAACCACCAGTGATCAGAACTGCAGCTGGTGGCGAATGTGGTGGATTGATCAAATTTGAAGAACCTAGCGACTATGAGCAACCGTTTGACGCTGCTGGTGGTGCACAGTATAGTGATTACGGTATGGTGCCGGCTATGGCGATGGATCAACAAGTGCAATTACCCCCTGTGGAGGTAAGCATATGCTGTTTAATTATTCCCAGGTAACAAAAGACAATTGACAACCTTCCACTAGCTGCTGCAGCTGGGGAAACGGGTTGCCTTTTTTATGGTATCACAGAAAGTGACTACGAACAGCAGAGACGGCTTTATCTACCATTTATATAACAGATGTAAAGTCACATCCGATAACAAAGATGCTTCAGGATATTTATGCCGGTCGGGATAACAACCAGCCTTATGCTAATCCATCTACAGGAGAAAACACTAATACGGTTCCAGAGAACGATAACATGTTAGATGCCGTAAAGGAGGTGAGCAGGATCTTCATATTATCATTTCATGGGTAGCATTATTGCATAGAATTTCTTGGGGCAAAAACTGATGTCGCAGACTAAGACACTTCGTTCTGAATTTGAACGAGTGGGAACACTTCCCACCGAGGCTGGGGAAGCAGAGTCGTTGGATCGCAGCATGCCGCTTCCGGCGGTGGAAGGGAAACCGCGAACTCGTCCGAGCACGTGTAAGAATGGCTTGCGCGAACGGGTCGGCTGAACTGGACAGCTTCCTTGGCAGGGGTAGCATGCAGTGCGCTCAAACTTGCCGTAACTTACTGTATCAAAAATCCAAGGTGTTCAGTTTCGCCGAGCCACTGCCTTTGAGCGAATTTCTCTTTTCTGTTGAGTGCTAAAACAGTTGGTTGATGTAAGTGTCGCTCGCTATCAAAATCTCTGTCGCGGATTAGGCGCCTAGCTCCAGACGTCAGTGGCTATAGCTTTTCTGCATTGGCATGTGTAGGCGATTCATCGCCAAGAACTGGACGCCGTTGCGTCCGACTAAGATAGTTCGCGCGGGAAAGACAGCAGACGGCAGAAAGGATGAAATAACGCTCGATCAGCGAGACGCCGACAGTGCCCGTAGTGACGCCCTGTCTTTGCGCGCGATGAATGGACTTAGGGAATTCGGGTCCTCGCGGGCTGCCTTATCCGGGCCACCCGACGGGTTCGCAAACGTGTCTCGGGGCATTTCTCCAAGTTCGTCAACCACTGATGCCTACGGATACGGGTTCCTCCATACTATGCCGCAGGATGCAGCACCTGCCGCAGCACGCCGCGTTCTGTGCGTGCGCCGCTGCAGTGGCAGTGAAAATACGCTCACGGCAGCACAGTAAGGAAACGTTGAAACTGCGGTAACATCGGCACATCAATTTTGCGACTGCAGTCTAATACTATGAAGATACTCTTTCATCGAGTGATGTATTTGATAAGAGACTTTCAGCATCAACAGGTCATAGAACCAGATGGTGCAGTTTGCTGTCAGTCATAAGGCATATTGTGCAAAATCAAAAATAGAGGGAGCACGCAATTCACACTGAATGAAGGAATCATTCGATCAACCTTCGATCAACGATGAGATCAAAAGAACGGAAAGATTGCATGCTATGAAGGAGTGTCTGGGCAAATTTGGGCCGCTAATTCCAACCAGTCACCGAAGCGGGCTCTCCAGCCAAGCTTAGCCTGACTGCGAGTGAAAATCTTCTTCTGGCGCAAGAAACCAGCTTCAAAAGTGTAACTGACCCGCCGCTCGATTCAGTGCCGTCGTCCTTAGCAAAGGAAATCGCGCCAGGTTCGGCCATAGCGACGCTGTTTTTGGCTGCAGCGGCGTGATCCGGCGCGATTTTCTCCCTCGGTAAGGGCACAACTGAATCGAGGGGCGGGTCTGTTTACGCTTCTGCAGCAGCTTTCTCGCTTCAGAAGCGGTATTTTGCACGCGCACCGGGCAATGGCTTGCATGGAGAACCCGCTTTGGTTATGCGTCGGGATTAGGTGCTCTGACATATGCCCGGACACTGCCTCTAAGGCATCGGGCATGCCTTAGCGATTCCGATCGCTACGCGACTACTCCACCATGTTCCCCTGACCCGTCCCGCTCAAGTTTCCAAGAAAGTGGGTCCCGCCGAATGTACCACTTTGTGGGGGCGACAAATCGCGTGCCATCGCGAGCACTTTCTTGACGGGCATACCTCTAGTGGCGATAGCGCCAGGACATCGGTGAAACAGAGAAATCACGTCGCAGAGTCTGCACCGTGGCGGGCAATATGTTGTGTCCTTTCTTTTGCCTGGAGAGTTTTGCAAGTCTTTTTCTTCAGTTTTAACTGGTGCACCATGCAAATAGCACCACATGACCTGATTCCGCTGCTCTCTTGTTTCCGCTTACTGGGTAACATTCCTTAGTTGTCTTTGCGATTTGTGTTGTATCTCATTGCATATAGTGATTCAATTGTTTATGGCGCCGCAACGTAATAAAACGGGATTAGTGCGTGAAAAGGAATGAGAGGTGTTTTGCGAAGAACATCGCCGGTGGACTTGGGAGTCGCCCAACGGAATGACTCATGCTGAGATCGACCACATTCTCACCAACCGAAGGTGGAGCTTACTCGATGTCTCTGTAGTTCCATCCTTCTGTAGTGGCTCCGATCACCGCCTCCTTCGAGCGAAGATACGACTCAGCCGAAGGCTGGAAAAGAAAGTCTGTCATAGCCGAGAAGGAAGGAAGTCGTTTATGACGGTAACAGGCTGGAGGAGCTTATATCAAGTTGTGACTGGCCCATCGAGAAGGACCCAACGTACGATTACGACCGGCTTCTGAAAGGATTGCGAGCCTGTGGAGAATGCGCCTCAGTGACTTTTGACAAGAACTTGGAACGCATTTCGAAGACCACCAAGGAAATGCTCGAAAGAAGAAGATTTCTGAGGCAGGATCCGAATGCAACCCATCTCTCATCCCACTGATAGCCAACGCCAGTTGCAGAACAGCTTTGCAAGAGGATCTCAGGAAGTACAGGCAAGCCAAGATACTGGAAGCAGCCGAAAGAAGACGAAGTCTTAAGAAGTGCCTAAGGGACCTCTGCGAATATCACGTACCGCTGGCTGCACTACTGAACGAAGACGGGACTCCGACTTCTCCCCGATACGATGGAATCTATCGAAGAACTTTTACACTAACCTCTTCCGCTCACCAACACCCGTGCAGATACCCGTTGTTCCCACTGGAGAAGTACTACCACGAATTCTACCTGCTGAAGTGCGTATCGCGATAAAGACCATGAAGACGTCCACGGCTCCAGGGCCAGATCATCTTTCCGTCGAACTTCTGCGAGCCGGAGGACACCGTCCACACGAGATTCTAGCGTCGCATTTGACATCTTACCTTCAGAAGGAGAAGATTCCCGACCAGTGGAGAACGTCAAGAACCGTCCTTCTCTTCAAAAAGGGTGAACGGGAGGATCTTCGGAACTATCGTCCAATATGCCTGCTGAGTGTACTGTACAAGCTTTTCACGAAGATTATCCTCGCTCGCATATCAAGGACACTGGATGAAGCCCAACCCCAAGAACAAGCTGGATTTCGCAAAGGATTCAGCTGCATGGACCACATCCAAACCGTTTCGAGGGTCATAGAAGTCTGCCGGGAGTACCGACTGCCTCGTCCTAACCTTCCTAACCGTCGACTACGAGAAAGCCTTCGACAGCGTCGAAACCAACGCCATCCTGTCAGCGCTAGTCGATCAAGGAGTGGACCCAGCCTACGTGAGGACACTAGCCAACTGCTACAAGGAATGTACAACAACGATACAGCTGTTCCATCTCCCCCTGACCATACCAATCGGGAAGGGGGTCCGACAAGGCGACACAATCTCGCCGAAGCTGTTCACCGCGGCCTTGCAGTGGGTGATGAAGTCACTGGACTGGGACGAGAGAGGCATACGAGTTGATGGGAGATTCCTATCCAACCTTCGTTTTGCGGACGACATCGTTCTCTTCTCGAGCAGTATCACCGAAGCAGAGACGATGCTGAAGGAACTAAACGAAGTAGGGAAGAAGATCGGACTGCGAATAAATCGGAAGAAGACTCAGTTCATGAAGAACGCCCTTTGCGAAGATGCAGAAATGGAATTGGAAGGCACCCCGATTATGGAGACGTCTTCCTACGTGTATCTCGGACGTTCGATGAGCATGGAGAACGACTTGAGGGAAGAACTTAACAGGAGAAGAAGAGCAGCCTGGGACGCCTTGGGGCCTCTGAAGGAAGCCACCGACCAACTGACGGACCCGGAGCTTCGTGCCCACCTGTTCGACTCAACCGTTCTCCCGGCGCTCTGTTATGCAGCTGAGACTTGGGCCGATACTGTAGCCACTCGAAAGCTTTACGGACCACCTACAGAGCGCTCGAGCGCAGTCTTCTGAAGATGACCCGACGCAAGCAACATCTAGTCGGACTTCGCAGCACGGATATAGAAGAATGTCCCGTCTTCGTGACCCAGCGGAATACGTTGCGAAAGCCAAACACCGATGGGCCGGTCACATAATGAGAAGAACAGATGGGCACTAAGAATATCTGAGTGGATTCCTCGCGAAGCCAAAAGTCCTCGAGGAAGACCACCAACGAGATGGGCAGACGTGTTCGTGGAACGGATGGACTAACTGAGAAATCAGCTGGATACGACTTTCGCCCCTGGAACTCGTGGACGCAGCCACCGACGACGGCCAAGAAGATCGTGGATGTCTGAAGCGAGGGACAGAGAAAAATGGCAACTTCTGTACTGGGGCCCGCACGTCACGTGAGGACGGGCCATCTAAGTATCTAAGTAAGTAAGATGTTCGGCGAATTCAAAAACTCGGAAATGTCTGTGTTCATTCGGGCGTGACGTGTGAGCTACGAGTTTGTGAAAGTTATGCCCGCAATGAGCGACATGCGATTACCCAAGCGCTTTTGGACGCCGAGGCATTCGATGCCCAGCGATGAGAATCGCTACGATGGAGTCGCCAGAGGTATAGGCCGTCCGCGCTGCGCGCGGAGAGCAAGGCTGTTGCGTACATCGAAGGCAGTTCACGACTGGAAGAAGCGCAGAGAAAAACAGACGGCGAGAGTGTACGAGGAAAGACGAGTGACGCGCAATACACACCTTGCGCACTCTCCGCGCCCTGCGCGGACGGCCTATATGACCGAGGCCTAAGCAGGGCGGATCGCGAAGACCTGAGCTGCGCCATTGTGACACTCAGATTAAAAGCGGAACTGGCGACCTACCCGGTGCAGGATAAGCAATCCTGAATGGTGACTACGCTTGCGTGAGTGCTAAGATTCCTTGCCTTGATGTAGATGCCGTGTACAATCAGAGTCCCTGCGCTACTAGCTTATCTAGCAGTCCTCATATAATCTGCGTCATACTCACTTGCATTATTGGAAACTATCTTATTACAATGAGGACGCGCACGTATCATGCCCGTCTTCATTCCGATCGAACCGTCTAGGCATCAATTGTAGTTGACCCAGTACTGGAGCCACGGCCGAGCCTGTGTCTTACCGCTTCGATCAATAACGCTACCTTCAAGTGCTCACCATTTAAGCCAAGGCAACGGCCACAGGTTGCCGGCAACTTTGTCCGGGGTTGCCGGGGTTGCCGGAGTTGCGAAGAGACGGTTTAGGCTTCGTTCATACTAATCAGGAAGTTCGGGAACAGTTCCTGCACAGCGCTCGAAGTGAGCGCTGGGCTGGAATTTCCGGACTTCGGTACCAGTATGGACGATTCTTAGGGAACAGCCGTAAGTTGCCGGCAACGGTTGCCGGTGGCCGGCGTTGCCGTCGTTGTAGACCTCCAAGTATCTTATGTGCTCTCTGGGCGGCAACCCCAGCAACACCGGCAATTGTTGCCGATGGCCGTTCCCTTAGAGAGAGCGCGAAACGTAGAGGCTATCGTGAGGTCCTACAAGGACCGGCAACCCGACAACCTCGGAGACAGTTGCCGGCAGCCTTGCCGTTCCCTAATTCAAACAACACTCTGCAACTCATACGTAAGGGTTGAGCACTAACGATCACTTCTTACTGGGAGTTAGCGGGATCCTCCAGTGCCTGCCCCACCGAATTGTGTTAGGCGAAGGCTTACCCCAGGTTACCTCGCTGTGCAGGACCCGTCATCCATAGCGTGGATTTTCTTGGCTATCATGTGAGTTGAAATGCTTCGATCGATGTAGTTGCCGGCCCTTGACGGATACCAACTGCTCACAAGTGGTGTGATAAGAGGTTTTGTGCGGAGATAGCGGGCTTTATATGCGGCTGTGAGAGGCGGGACAGCGCGAGAACTGGCGTTTGGGGATCCTTGGGAAGCGGCGGCGGGTGCCTCTGAAGTAGGTACTTCGATAATTTGATTCAAAGAGCAAGTATCCGGCGTACTTCCTGTTGGCGTTGTTCAATCTGAAGTCAACATAAAGATATATTGTCTTACAAATTCGGACATTCAGGATAGCGACGATGAGGGAGCCGATATGGCGCAACATTTCTTCAGCAGTTAATTCGCAGGAAACAGCCCAGCAAACTTCGTTTTCTGTCCTGCCGTTTGCAAATCATAGTTAGCTGGAACGGTACTCATTGTTGAGGTATTAGTGAATCTACTTTGGCTGCGTTCATACTGATCCGGAAGTTCGAGAATAGTTCCAGCACAGCGCTCGAATTGAGCGCCTGGAACTGTTCCCGAACTTCCGGATCAGTATGAACGCAGCCTTTGAGGCAGTGCATTTGCTTATTACAATCGATCTCCAATATACACCTCATTCTAAAAACGTTTGGTGTGATTGTGTTCCTGTAAATAGTTAACGTTCTCTGTTGTTCAGGTGTTAAGCGACTTTGTTCGTTGTTTTGGTTTGACTTGAGTTTCCAGGTATTCCTAAGTGTTTGTTTAAGATATGCAGAAATCTTTCATCCTTTGCTGAATTCTTTATCAACTCCATGATTTTTCAATCTCAGTTTTTGCAGCAGAACTTGCTTTGTTGCTCATCTCTCAGTAATCTCTATCACTTTTGCAGTTCTGTAAATTTACATGAAGCCGTATGGTTTTTGTTTGATTTTGATTTTGTATGGTACCTAGGTTTGATAAAAGCATTCGGTTTGTTGGTACATGATTGCTGCGAAGGTTTATCACCTTTCATTTGCATCCTTGTGTAAAATTATCTGCTCCACTGACAATTTTGCGCGACACTAGGAACTACACAACGCACTACACGCACGGTTCGACTTTGTGGATCGTTCTGCAGAATATATTCGACAATCAGATGCCGCATGTGAGTTCTCTTTTTCTTTTTGCCTTGAAAGTTGATTCAAAACTTTATGGAGAGTCAATGAAGACTTTACTCTACATCTTTTAGCAGATTTCTCGTTTCTTTCTCAGGGTGTATCGTCAAGGTAATGCAAATGCTTAGTAACTTGATAACAGCAAACTCAAAGAAGTGCAATATCTCTCGGGTTAGTTTCTTTTTTATAGATCAAATTTGATTCGTCGGACGACGATACAAAAAATGTGAGTGATAGTCGTGGTGGTGAATCAAGAAATCCTATTGGTGAAGAAGCCAGGAAGAGCAGGAAGGCGCGACTGGAAGAACGTGAAGAAGCAATGGATAGTGAGACTGACCGCAAGAGAAGTCGCTCAGAGGGTGAACACATGGATGAATCTGCTGGATCTAAGGTAAGAAATGAAATTGAAACTATCGTCAGTAAACGATCTGTGATGTTTCAGGACCGAAAAGAGAGGCCTAGAGGAGACGACCGACGTGAGGAAAGAGAAAGGCAAAGGCCTGGAGACGAACGTCATGAGGAAAGAGAAAGGCATAGACCAGATGATAGAAGAGACAGACCTGATGATCATAGGAAAAGGAGCTATGACAATGATTTTGGAGGAAGGTGGGCTTCCTTTTTTGCCCTGCGAGTTTCTTTCTGTCAAACTTAACATCCCCAACTTATCATTGGCATAAGCTAGTGCGTCTAGTTAAGTAATTCTGTTTTTTTCTGTTGCCTGTAGAGCTCAGCGCTCTGTAACATCCATACAGTACTTAGCTGGGGTACAGTGTGCGGCTAGATCTGAAGTCACGGAGATTTGTTGGATCGCAATTGTGGCCCCTACATATCGACTTTAGCTATTGCGCATTGCGCAAGATTATTTCCGCATCGAAGTAATTGCTTTGGTAACTCAACATACCGTCTCAACAGAATTTTGTTTGTACCTTTCGCTGGTAAGGAGACGCGTGGCAATGGGAGCAGCTGTTTACAGACTAAGCTGAATCGTCGTTGTTGCGCTTCACACATTGTTTCTGAATGAATGTCAGATCCATTTGGCGAGTCTGCGTCTAGCTTCGAAACGAACGCCTCGTTTTATGGGCATTATCGTACTACCATTTGAGCAGTACCTTAATGTTGGGTCGTCATTGTAGCCTTCTAAAGTAGCTGCTTAAACTTTAGCTTCAAGTGCGCGCCTCATTCATGAGTATATCGCTTCCATCATCCGCTTAAATATTGCTCAATACCGCCTATAATCTCAGCGGTGTTCAATACTGACAGTTTTGTCTTTAGGTTACGCAGAGACGATTTTGGTGACAGGCCACGTGGTCGCGATAGAGACAATCGCGGAGGTCGGCATGACGACAGGCGTCGAGATGATTTCAGAAGTAACGATCGAGATGACAGAGATAGATTTCAGAGGGTATCTGTTTTTCTTAATTCAGTTTTTTACTCCCTATTTGCCATTTTTGGATTGCCTCTTGAGTCTACGAAGATTTGCTGTCCAGCAGCAGGTACCATGTATTCTCAGATTCATGCTAAGCAGTTGATTGAAGCGCCCAGCTAACAGTGATATTTGTTGTAGAATGTTACTGAACTGACAGCGGTTTTGGCAAGGATTTAAATTCGTGCGACGAAACCGCACAATGAAGTCGTAGACGTTCCTTAGTCTGAATTTGTTAGGAGAAGTGTTGCTGTTGTGTTTCACTGCCCACAGCGCGCTCAGGCATCGATTTTGTTTGGTGTGATTCTGGGAATGAATGGTATGCGTTGATGTTTTGCAGTTTTTCACGTATTACTTTCGAAACAACGAAATTGCGCAGTAAGGGCTATTGCTGCCATGCGCTTAGTCTTAGTGCGATCTAATATGCTTGCGGCGCAGGCGGTACACTTCTAGAAAATAATGTTGTGGTTTGGTCTCAGTTGCACCAGCGGTGGATGGTGCAGCGACGACGGATCAGTCCGCACGACGCCGAGTGTCGGATTTTAGAAAGACGACAGACGAGATTACGGCGGTCCAAGAAGAGACTTTCGCGGTGGTGGTGGACCCAGACGCGGTGGACCGGATAGAGGAGGTGACAGAGATCGTGGTGGGAGGAGAAGAGATGACAGGAGAGATAGGTTTGGCTACCTATACTGCATCTGATTTGTTGTAAGTTTTTCTGCTGAAGAGACGATCGCTCTACGTGGGATGTAAGACCTAGTGCTGAAGAAGTTGCTAAGCAAAAGAAACTGTTGTGGGGATCGAAACCAGCGCCAGCTGCCAGTGGAGAGGTTAGCCAATATAGTTTTCATGAGTGTATCAGCTCACTATCGCATCGCATCTTTTAGACTAGTGGTGCAACCGGAGAAGCACACGACGAAGTCGTAGATAAGAATGCCGGATTGTGGTCAAGCGCTATCACGGCTAGTGGTGTTGCTGGTGAACAAGCGAACAAGTTCTTGAAGCTTATGGGGATAAAACATGCTCCGCCCGTAGACCCGAGTACGGTGAGCACATCTGAAGTTGGTATCTTACAGGGCTTTTATTTATACTAGCGACCCTAAGGGCCGCTTGCAAGTGGGTTGGGGCAATACAATTTAGCCGTATGATTGTCAAGACAATTACACCTACGTTTTATACCTTTCAGTTGTGGGCAACACGAAACTGATTAATCAATGACTTTTGACTCTCCTCTAAATATGAGAATCTCATTGTTGATAGTCGATATCTTTTGAGTCCCTTCTAAAAATTTTCTTTGGGCCAAATTTTTCCACCAACCTTCACTGAGAGTCACCAAGCAGTCGATTCTCACAACAACGATGTAGTCTACAATACCTCAGCTAAACTGAAAACATACTTTAGTGTCCGAAAAATTTCGGCAGCAAAAACAAGCATTGTTCTCATGCCCTGCGTGTCGCTTACAGACCACTTTTTTGAATAAACCTTGCTCCGCGTACCGCCTACAGAGCGACATACGTAGGAGCTGCCCTACGATTGTCCAGAACGGTTTTTCACGAGAAAAAGCTTTCTTACGGGTTTTCTACAGAGTTATAACCTGAGAAAGTACTGTCCTCTGAACAACAATAAATGATATTACATTACATTCTGAGATAAATCTGCCACGCCCCCTGCACACTAATATTGCGAGGAAGCGGTATGGGCTGCTTACAGAAGAAAGAAACTGCCCGCGAACGGTGATCAGTCATTAGAAGGGCCCTATGGGCCGCTTACAGATCCTTACTTTAAAAAGTAACTGCCCTGTGGGCTGCCTACGAACCGATATTTTTCAAAAAAAACTACACATGAAAAAGAAGCCTATGAGCCGCTTGCGGTCCTTCACTTCGAGAAGAGGTTGCCCTATGGGCCGCGCATAGACCGATATTTTAAGAAGGAATTGCTCTTAAAATCTTCAAATTAACCTTTGAAAAATGCCCAAAGAGCCGCTTGGACTACTTTTTCAAGAAACAACCGCTCTGTGTATACCACAAGCTAATATTTTGAGAACAAGAGAAGCTCTGAGGCTGCTTAAGACATATCTTTACGTCCTAACTAATGCATCAAAAAATAACAGCCCTACGCTCCACTGTAGACCAGTAACTGTAGGAAGAACATGCCCTATGAGCCACTGAAAGACCAATGTGTTAAGAGGTTACAGTCCCTATGGACCGATGTTTATAAAAAAATAATTGCCCTATAAGAAGCTTATGTACCGGTTCAGAAAGTACACAAACCCCTCCCCTGACCCCCAACAAACCCATACTTGAGAAAAAACTGCGCTAAGGCCGCCCTACAGACCGATATTCTGAGAAAAAGCTACCTTACAACCATTCTCTCTCCCCCCCCCCCCTCCTTCCCCCACGGACCAATAATTATGAGAAGGCGCTGTTCTATAGGAACCAGCCCGATATCCTAAAATTCTATTACCCTAGAACCCCTACAAACTCTACTGCCGTACGAAGCGCTCACATATGATGTGCTCTAAGGAGCCAAAGACCGAAGTTCTGATCGAAGAAAATGGAGCTATCAGCTACTTACAATTAGATACTACACAACGGTATTTCGAGGAGGTGCCCTTGAAATCCATACAAATCGATATTCTGTGATAAAACTGCTTTACTGGCCTCTTACAGACCAAAATTCAAAAAGAAATGCCATATGAGATTCTACAGACCGATATTTGGAGGGAAAAAACTGCCTTATGGGCTTGGAAGAAGCCGCCCTATGGGGGAAGGGGGAGGGGGGGGGGGAAGGGGTGGTTGCAAACCGATATCTTGTGAAAAAATGCCCATGGGCCTCTTGCAGGCCATTATCTTGGTAAGGAACTGCTTTATGCGCCGCTTACAGACCGGTATATAAAAAACATCTTGAAAAAAATTGCCTCAAGAGCCGCTCATAGATCAATATTTGAAAAAGAACCGCTCTGCGAGTCCCTTATAAACAAGTATTTGTGATTTCCCAGTATCTAAACACAAAAATAATAATGAATCGCTCACGATATTCACGTTCATGCAAAGCAACTTTCAAAGGGACTACCCTATGCGCCGCATACAGACCGACTGTTCTAGGAGATGCTCTGGCCGCTTATAGATCAGCATCTGAGAAATAATTTTGCCATATGCGAAGCTTATGGAACGATAATTGAATGATTTGTAGAAAAAACTCGCTACGTGAAGCTTACAGATGCCGATCAATACTATTAACAGAACTGCCTTACGAGCCCCTACAAATCAAGAAAGTGTCCTATGAACAACTACATTTATTGAAAGAATCTACCCAATGGACAGCTAATAGACCAGAGTTGTAAGAAATGATTGCCCTTTGAGCCTTAGAGACCTATAAAAGTCGATCTACGGGCCGTTTACCAACTTTTATTTCGAGAAGAACAAAGAACTGTTCTCATCAGTCCTCACCAATTATGAGCAACCATGAACTTTGACGAATTACGGGCTGCCAAGAACTTTAGCAGGAAGATTAGGGTGTGAACAGTTGAAGCGTAAACGTTGAGAAACTACTACAGCATGTTTACGCAAGACAACGAGTTCCCAAGTCATACATCCGAGTACAAATTTGCGAAAGAGGGGGGGGGGGGATACTGTTAGCAACCTTACGAGAGTGTCGGCCCCTTCCCGACTATAGCCTTTTTGCACTCAAGAACCGCACCCCTTTTGGACGCCTTCCTCGAAGACAGTCGATATTTACCACCCCCTGTACTCCTACGAAAACACGCTAGCCTTGTAGACAATCTGCACCCTCCGCACCCTCGGCAATCACTCGCCTCATTCCGCAACTTGTCAACATGTAAGTGCAAAACCTTGCCATTCTTTATTATAGAATGATTTTCATTTTCATTCCTGTTATTACTGAAGGCATCTGTCTTTATACAAAGTTATGGATTTCCATAGATTGATTATTTGTACCATTAATAACCACCAGTGCCTCATTTGTAGCCTGATTGTGCGCACAAGGTCCACTATTTCGATTTTTCTCGCAACTCGCTCAGCCGTTTTAGTGTGTTTTGGAAAGCGACCCTTATGCCGCACGATTCTATAAGGCAATACGCAACGTGTAAAGGGTCCCTAGATCGAAAAGTCCTTGGGTGTATTTGAGCTAGTCGATTTTTGTACCGATGGTTCTAGGCTTCACTATAGCCTGAGGCGAAATAGCGCCTGTTGGGTGTATTATATAGAACACATTAGCTAATAAGCTTCATGAACAGGCAACCTGCACTCGTAGGTGCCTGGTAGAATGCTGAGGATAATAGGCGTGGTAGAGTAACTTAACAGGCTATCACAGCAGGTCATGTTTATGGAATGATCTGTGGGCACTTCGGTAACAGTAGAAATAGGTTGCTAGGAATGCCGACGATGTCGGCACAATTTTGAAAAAAAAAATTCCGCGCCATTTGTACGCGCGAAATCAGGGTAATTCCGAAATGTAGGGTTTTCTGATTTTGACTGAGTTGAAGCAAGTACAAGTTAGGGGTTATCAAAATCCCCATCTATAAAGCTTCTTCCTTATATTTTATCCGATTGATTGTTTACGTATCAGACTGACAGCAAACGACTTCAAGAAGAAAGCGAGAAGCAGAAAAAAATGATGCGTGATCTGGATCGGCAGTATGAAATAGCTCGTGAAACGACACATATGGGACGAGGTCTTGGATTAGGATTCCATCAACAGTAACATCGTTCTTTTGTATGTTTCTTCTATTCGTTGTTGATTAGCAAACGGCAGATGAAGCTGTAACATGTAGCAAGCTAGAGATGTTGAATTGCATAGTTGCTTACAAACTGGTTTATAGTTTGATTTATAATCCTACTTCATTACAATCTATACCTTCTTCGTCGAGAATTTTCATGCCAGAAACCTTTATTGAAAACGAACGCATGCTTCAGGCGTGTGCGCGAATCTCTATTCGAAAATTTTTGTAATACCCTAGAAGAAAACAATTATCTTGTTGATATCGCTACAGTTCTGCCGTTACGTTTCTCACGATTTTTTTATTAGAAATCAATTGTTGTAAGTCCACTTACACATTTTGCTTGAGGAACTTGCAAGCCTCGCGAGCGCAGTAATACTAGCGATTTTGCTGAAGTAGCATGAGAATTTTCTTTTATGGATCATAAGAATCTCCTTTGGTTGAAAGGATTATTTAAAGTTTTCGTTGAGCCACAAAGTGCAGTTTGGCCCTTCAAGCAAGGTTTCTAGATGATGTTTCCGCCGAAATATTGCTCGAGACACATAGTTTCAGCTGAGGTAGCAGAAATTGTAGTTTGCTGGAGTTGTGCGCATGATATAAAACAACCTTAGGTCTGTCACCAGTGTTTTGGAAGTACATTCAACTATATTCTTGTAAAGTCCAATTCAAACATACACTTTGTACATAATTTTTCTTATTCAGAGTATTCTTTTCTTTCCACCATGTTTCATGATTTATGGTAGTACTTTCTAGCGTCTTCTGTTGTATGTTTTGTTACTGTTTTTGAATTATTCTCGTAATCTTTATCCATAAATGTATATGCAATCGATCGATAACGATAAGCACAACCCGAAACATATGGGCAATAATTAGAAGACTAGGATACAAACTGTACATGTAGTCGTATACACTAACTAGCACCTCATCCTTAAGTCATGTATATACGAATACGAATAGTGAACACACTAATGAACAAGTTTTTCAGCTGTAGAACCTCCAATACTTAGTGCCATTAAGAGTTCGATTTCAGAGATATTGTTACGAAGATCTTGTAACATGCTTGTAACACGTTCTGAGTCTCGTCTGGAAAAATATGGTTGAGTTGTTTGGAATGAAAAGTAGATGTCAGCCTCTTACCTGGCGAGAATATCGTCAACGTCGGATGATGAAGACGATGAACTCAACGATGATGTGCTTCGAATGGTGTTCGAAGATAGAGACTTCTTGCGAGAAATGTCTGCAATTTAGGAGTAGGTTGTAAATCCATAATCACTAATCGCTCTGTCTCATTGATGGTGTCGCCAACTAGCGCGGCTCGAATCCCATGCAGCGGCTTCGGTTAAGCTCTGCATCGCGCTCGCGAACATGTTCTTTGATCATTTTTTCAGGGAGCATGGTAAAGGCTCAGATGCAAGCTTTAATCGTTGCTCAAGCACGGGAAAATTACTAGAGGACACTTTCGGAGGAAGTTTAGAACCAATGCGAGCGGCCGTGCGGTATTTGAATCGCTCAAGACGCTGACACTAACAATGAGACAGAAGAAATTTAGAATTCTGATCTCGGTTCATTGTTTTGCCATTGACTCAGCACTGTATCGAGCAATGACATTTTTGCCTGTGATTTTATTGCAATCGAAATTGAAGTGACTTACTTCTCGCATAGGCTAATCGACACCATTGTAGTGCTTCGTCATCGCACATTGCTGCGTATTCGATACAAATTTGTGAAAAACGCAATACGGCCAGTAGAAATGGTTCACCTCGTGGAGGCAGTGCAGATAAAAGAATGCGGTGATTTTCCTGGAATTTAAATAACGTTGGAATTGTGCCAAAAATTCTTCAGAATTTTTACCTTCATATCGCGGAAGTGTCGCTCCATTTCGCTTGTGAAACCAGCAAATCGGATTGTTGAGTAGATCCAGCAGAGAAATGCTTGGTATTCGAAAACGTAAAATGCCATGGATTCGTCATCTAAAGCAGTTTTGAAATGTTAGAGAAACTTATCAAAATACCAGTTTACGTCTGACGAAGACAATCAGCAACAATCATTTTTACTTTCCGCGACTAACGGCAGCCTTGCGCGAGTCGCGAAAGTTATTATGTGTTTAACACACACATTTATATTGTACGCTACTGAAGAGCATTCAAACCTTGGTGAAGATGTAAAAATTTCGTGGCTAGCGGGCAAACCTTGCGCGAGTCGCGTCATTTGATTACGTGGTTGGCACTTACAATGCATCATTATTACCTCGTCTGGGCTCTTCCAACAGTTCGCTTCGTAGTTCCAGTAATGTCGCGCAAGCTTCTTTCAAGCATCGTTTCCGTTCTGCTGTAGTGCGTTGTGCTGCGTAGTCAGCTTGTAGCTCACGTCGGAGTTCGTAGACATCTTCAGGGGTTATCCTAAATAGACAGCCTCATCTGACAGTGTGGAAGGACCTACAGTAGCCTTACCGTACTCCACTCCGTTTTAGATTTCGCAGACATCTTGCATTATACGAGGTGACTTCATGGCTAGAGAGAGATGAACTAGATGGTAAGCTTCCTAGGGAGGAGTCCAGGGAGAGTGCTGAGTCTAAAATTGGGACTATTGAAAAATTGTTGAGATCAATAGTTGTGTATCTCGTATTATTTACTGCAACAGAGCGAAACGGTAGAGGAACTTTTTTGCCATTAGGCATCTCCTCCGCGGACTACTCCTCACACGGTATGCAGTAACGTGTGCCAAAGGACCGGTAGTCCACGTAGAAGGAGTTTATGGCGGAAGCTGTTTTTCTACCTTAGAACGAAGAAATGCTACAGCTGTACTTATGTAACTTATTTTTTGCTTTATGATGTATGATGAGCGTTTATGGTTCGCTTATATGGTGTACCGTATGCAGGTTGTGTGCAAATGCACTAACTCACCTTTATTTGACGATGAATTGCCATCAAATGCGCATTTATCCAAATCGAACACACTTTGTCGATGTGATTGCCGCCGATTATTTGAAAAATGTAACATATTCAGCATGACTTGTTAGTTGCCTGAAAAAGACGCATTAATACAATTTCATGAAAAAAAATCAAACAAATTTTCGACGAGAAAAAGCGAGCGAATGAACGAATAAATAGATGAATGCTTATCAAGTGCACATCAGAGATATGACAGCTATTTGCACTTTGCTGTGCAAAGCTAAATAAGAGATTTGCAAACAAACGGGAAATTTTGTGATAAAAATAGCAGGAATTTCTGAAAAAAGTAGAAAACAGGGTATAAAGGTTGCATTTCTTCAAGCTTACGCCTATCAACCCCAATATAAATGTTCAGAGGTAAGCAGATCCGGCTATTATCAGTGGGTAAGTGATTCATATCTCAGCAATGTTCGTACCTACGCATACAGAGCTCTTATCAAATGACAGTGTGCAAATAATCTTTTAGGCACATGGAACGCCCGAAAGAATGCCAAAATTGTATGGCAACAATCTGTACTCATTAATTCATTGCCAATGCAGATATTGATCATTGCTCTAGTGTTTCTGAGCCACCCCCATAAAAAAATTTATATTTTTCCTACTTTATGGCCCTAGTCACTAGAGGGAAAATAAGCAGAGGATAAGCACTATCATTAACAAAATTTTGACACGGTTCCTGTAAGAATGGTTAGCGAAAGGTTACATGGCTTTTTGAAAAACAGCTCTTATACTGGTATAATAATTTTTCTGGATGGTCCGCAACTTCTCAAAAAATTTTAAAGGCGCTAGTTTTATGCGTTAAAAATAGAAAGATCTAAACCACGCCTCTCTACTTTTGAGAACGGAATGCGTCCAAAAGTCTTGTGAGAAAAAAATTAAAAAACAATGAAACTTTTAAAAACAGCAAGAGGTAAGCATTGTGTCTTTCCATTTACATTATGTGCGCACTTCAATGCCTTTGTCATTGATTTCCACTTCAGACCTAAAGATCAGCTACTATTCAGTCATCATTTTTAAAATAGCGCGATTGTAACAGGAATAATTACAAAAACTTGAAAGTACTGCAAATATCGTAAGAAACGGAAAAGATCAAGAGAAAAATAATATCGTTTTTTCTAAGAAGATGGGAGGAATCCAGAACAACACTACCTCTAATTCTGGTCAGATAAAGTTTTTGAAATTATGTTTGTATTAGGTTGGCACGAAAGTTCTGTCGCACCATTTTCAAAAATTCATAACTCTTTAAATTCCCAACGAATTTGTACGAATAAAATTTTACTTAAGAGAGGAACTCATGCTCTTTGCAACTGTGCTTGAACTGTTCGTTAATGTGTACAAATGAAGGAGATAGAAGCTTAAAACCAAAATCATTCAAAATTTGAATTTTACGTGGAGGGTCATAAAAAATCGGAAACTTGCAACAAAAACGGAGCAGTCGGTATTGTAGGTTCTTTCATCAGCTCTTTCTAACAGTGCAAAGTTTGAGCCGATTGAGCGTCTCAATGAAAAGTTATGATTTCCCTGAAAAATGCCAAAATAAATCAAATTCGCCCTTTTGTATTGCTTGCTCGAAAATCATAACTTTTCATAGAGACTCGATTGGCACAAACTTTGCACTATAAGAAAGAGCTGGTGAAAAAACCTACGATACTGACTGCTCCGATTTTTGTTGCAAGTTTCCGATTTTTTATGATCCTACACAGAAAATTAGAATTTTGACTAATTTTCTTCTACCGCTCCCATCTATGCAACAGATGAGCATTAGCAAGCAGCTAAGAAGCAGTTATAAAGAGCATGACCTGCTCTTTCAGATAAAAATAAAAGCAGTCAAATCGGTTGGAAAAATCAGAAGTTATGAATTTTTGAAAATGGTGCGACAGCACTTTCGTGCCAACCTAATATAAAAAAACAGGAAGCTGTAGCATAACCGTTCAGATCATGTACAGCCAGTCTTATCCATTATAACAGAGTCCATTTTGATGCATGTACATAGTAAAAAAATAAAAAAATGCATTTTAAATTCGATTATACATTCTTTGATGAATGTAAGTAGCGAAACTAGAAGAGGCGTAAGGTTTGAGAAATCATTGTGAACTTTTTGTTTTGTTGCTAAAGTTTTACCGTAGCTTCTTGCTATGTCGACACATCTACGTGAATTCAATTTTGATAAGAAATGGAAGTCCCGCTTTGTGACAAAACCTTGACGGCTTACAGGCAAGTATCAAAGATTGGGACGAAGTAACGGATAGTAATGATACATTGGAATTCGTACAGTGCGCTCATCAAATATTGAAAGGTCGTAATAAACTTTCTCATTATCAGTAATACAGACACTATGATTCATTTTATCTGTCTAGGAAAGCTGGAGCAAATCTAACATTTTTTTGGAAAATTTGTGGTTTTTAGGAATTATGGCGAAACGAAGTTCTTCTCGGAGAATTTAATTTTGCAAGCACAAAACGTACCTTTTTTGATTTTGCAAGCAAGCCGCGCAGCCGGGTCGTTATGTTTCGGAAGACGAAACTTATAACCTCAGGCAATACGCAGCACGGTATAGATTCTCTTGGCGCGAAATTTTTTAGGGTGTTCAGGCTGGCCGAGTTTAGGAAAAAAACAGGTGCCGTCTTGTACTCGTGAAATTAGGGTACAGTGACAATTTTTCTTAACTGGCCAGAGTTAATCACAACTCGCACAACTAGCAATACAGGATTTCTCGGGTGAAGTTAATAAATTTGAACTTCATTTCTTTCTTCGTTTCCATTTTTAAATTTTGTGTTCCTTCAAGACTGCTGATATAGAGCTATGCTTCCTTTTCTACGAAAATTCAAATCTATAAATTCATGGGATTAGGTTGTCCCGAAAGTTTTGTCGGTTTTTTCATCGCTCACTAAAACTCACAGAACACAAATCCATGGACAACTGAGGTAACATTTGAATCTGACTTTTATCCCCTTTCCTACAGCTATGTTTGCTCTCTGATCTACTCTGTGTTTGCGATGTTACCGTCATGGGTTTTCGAGCAGCTTTACAATAACGCCAAGTCTTTCTTGAATTTTGAAGATTTTTATTTTGATATTTTTAAAAAGCGCTGGTAACAGTTATGTAGAGCAAACCTTTGGCTACATCGTGTATATTTTAGATTACATGGGGCGCGTTTATCAAGTTCGTAATAATAACTTATTTAAGAAAAATCGAGACATTTTGACTACGTTTAACTTCTAAAAGTACCAAAAACTCCAAAAAGTGATTTTTCAAAGCAGATCAAACTTGGATAGATTGCATAAATAATGTTTGATAACAAACAAGTACCAATTTGCAGAAATTTTAAGAACTTCTATATTTTTGCTGCAGTTGCGTGTTTCGTGACTTTGCCAAAAATGAAGACCTTGGAAGAAATGATTTTTAAAGCTAAAAACAGCAGATTAGGAGGATCTAAAAACGTTATTACATAGTCCGAGAATTGCTTTATCTGAACCTTACTCGTTTCCGAAAATTTGAAATGAAATTTTTAAAAATTTGCCGAACTTTGAGGAAATAAAAATGACGGGTGAAAATTTTTAGCAGTTATCAGAAAAAGCATACAAGATTATGGCTAGGAAGTATAACCATAAGAAAGAGAAGGAAAAGCTGCATCGAATGCATGTTGAAGCTCAATCAGGTCTTTGTTGTGCGTTCGTGGTTTTATAGCGATTTGAAAAAACGGACAAAACTTTCGGGACAACCTAATATGCTGAGATTACCATAGGTTCTGCAAAATAATCAGAGTTACAAGTACACACATGTGCTTTTTCCAGCACGATTCATAAGGGACCAAAGTTCATTGCTCAAGAGAAATAGACATCAATCATAGAATTTTTATGACGGAAAATTTACAGATCGTATCGGTCCAGGATTTGAAGATAAAAAATAACAATGGAGCATCATCTATGGGGCGTTGAGTGGATCGTCGTTGAAATAACACTCAAATTTGCCACCAAGCAGATAAGAGAGAGAGATGGGGATTGAAGACCAAACTTCCCCCAGCAAAAAACTTGAAACTTGGAGACTGACGATTAAACAACTAGAAACACATTGAACCAAAGTAAAGAAACATTCTATAGCTAATTTGAAGGTGGTATAGTGCTTCTTTGGCATTAACAATACTTGCTCGTGTAAAATGGCCATGTGCCCAGTTTCCCGCTTAGCTGTGAATTTTTACGCGCACAAGTTGTTAGCGCCGCAAGGGCACAGTACTATTGTTGAACTAGGCTGAACATAAAGCAACCGAACCCGAAATGCTAATTCCAAACACAGCCGCTCTTCCATTTGCTTGGATTTCCCAACACTTACCAAATAGCATTCCTTAATTCGAATTACTTCTTTTACGCCCAAAAAGAGAAACTCTCGCAATGAAACTGGTTCGATGAGCGCAACATGTTTGGTAATTGAAGATTTTTAAATTGTAGTTTGGTTCTTAAGTGGTAGTAATAGAAGAGTTACTCGTTTCGTCTAGTGCAAATTGTAGTGGTCTCAGAACTCTCAGCGACAAAAAGGAGGCTGCTTCTTTTGCTAGGAAACTTTTATTGAAGCTATGAATAGAATAACCAGTTTGGGTATTAGAACTTGTAGTGGAAATTGTTTAAGTGATTGGGAGTTTGCCCGGGTGTTGCTGTTGGAAATACAGACAAAAAGCTAATTGTTCTTGCTTACCGAGAAATCTGAAGCAAGTCTCACTTTGGTAGACTTTTTATTTTGGTTTTCCCAAAGTTCGAAATTGAGCAGTCCTTTTTACCATATAAAATTGGCAAATTGGCATATAAAATTGGTGGGAGAGGTGGGAGGGGGGGGGGGCTATTACGGTGCATTATAAAAAGAGATCGGCTGACCAAACACAAAAGTTGCCCGCTATTTTTGTTGCGTATTTCATGTCTCAATCTGTATTTTTTAATTTTCAGATATTTTTGTAACTTTTTTTCGGTCCAGAAAATCAATAAGTAAACATTCTTTACAAGTGGAAGAAACAATGAAGTCAGAACTAACTACAAGAGAAAAGAAGAAGAATGAAAGTGAGATGGAAAAATTGGACAGCTGGTCGTGACT